AAATTTTCAAAGTTGATATTTTGACCCCAAACTTTGGCAAAATGTTTCCTATAGTTTTTCCCAGTTTTCCCCAAAGTTTCAGCCAGATTGGAACACTCTCCGAGTTTTCGCGGAGTTTTTTACCTATTTTGCCGACTCCCTGATGAACCCCATAATAAATTTTTAAAAATTTTAAAAAATTGATTTTCCTTTTTTCAAAAACTTATTATTCCAGGGACAATACACGTTCGTGTGCGATTCTATTCTCCGGGCGTACAACGAAGGAACGATCAAACCGTTGGCAGAATATCAGAAACGATAGAATCCTCTTTTTTTTTGTCACGATTCTTCCTTCACTCTTTTCCTTTTTTCAATCAATTTTCCCATCGAACTCTCAAGAAACGGATCCCCGCAAGGTGCTAGCTTTTTGCCTTCCTTTTTAAAAGTACTGTAGTCGTCTTTTTAATTTTCTCCTTCTCTCAAAAACTAGTCAATTTTTTGGTGTGTAATATTTTCATAACATAATACTAAATCTATCTCAATGGGTCACCTATGTGATTTTCGTACATTTTTCCTCTTTTGGATTGTTTTACAGCCCACCAAACTCTCTCTCCCCTTTTCTTTCTCAATACTTTGTCATCATCTTTTTTTTTTGTTTTTTTTTCTGTACGGAAAATCGCCTGAAACGCAATACTTGTATGTATAGGACGAAGAATCAATACAAAACTACATCACAAACTTTCCTTTCATATAAAATTTTACAGTCTCCGTTCCACGGTTTACATGACACAAAAAAACAATGGGGACGAAGATGAACGGGTGATAGGAAAAATTGGGTGTCAGGGAACATTAAAAAATACTATTATAAGGAAAACAGGTAGACGAAAGGGGACGGATTTTGAAAATCACCAGGAATCAACAATTATACGGATAGAGGGTGCGTGGAAGAGATTGAAAGGAAAGTGTAGAAAAAACACAAAAAAGGAAATGAAACAAAGGAGGAATGAGGTGTTTAGATGAACGTATGAAATGCAAAATTTAGAGTTTCGTCGAACCAGCGAAGCGAAACTTACAGATTGCCTACTAGCAAAATGAGATGAGGGGGAAGTTGAATGGTACATCGGTATTGAACTTGGAACATATCAAAGAAACGGTACATATACGGGAAATTCTCAGTCTATTCGGGAATCATGGGGGAAAATGGGGAGATACGAGAAAAACCAACATGGCCAGCCATGAACTATGGGGAGTCCGATAAATCTAGGATTGCTCAGAACATATATTGCTGAATAGAAATTCACAGATGAAGAGAACAAGTAGTGTTCAGCTGGAAAAAAAGAGACTAGAATTTCATTGGAATTCCAGCTCGATGAGGCAAGATGACGGAAATGGGATCGGGGGAGATGTGGGGGATATAGTCATGAATAATACGATATTGAAATTCACAAAACAATTTTTTATCGTCGAATAAAAAAAACTGGCACCTGAAAATCAGCTAGCCTCTGTTAAGTTCGGGTTTTTTTTTTTGAAATTCAGATTATACAGAAGCGATCATACTTTTACGAAAAAACCTAAATTGGGTTCAGAAAATCCCAAAAACGAGAACACAAGTGCCAGTTTTTTCCAATTCGACAATTCTATAGCACAAAAAATCTCAATTTAGAAATAGTACGTTACCAATTGATGCTTATCAGGTTACAATTTTCTTTAGAAAACTTTCGGATTAGAAAATTTTTTTAAAAATCTCAACCAAATGAGCACTAACTGGCCTAGATCGCAACCCAAATACAAAAAGCGCGTCATCCATTGATATTGGCGAATGGAGTGTGATGCGGCATGTGATGTCCATAAGGAGCATATCCATTTGGGTGAGCATATCCATTTGGAACACTGTAACCCATGACTCCATTTTGGTGTGGTTGTTGATGCTGTTGAGCTTGCTGATGATGTTGAGCTTGTTGTTGCTGTTGTTGTTGTTGTTGTTGCAATCTATTATATCAGAGGTTATTTTTAACATTTAAGAATAATATTTTTCTCTAAACATTTCGAAAAAAAAGTGGTTTCGTTTTAGTTAGTATTCTTACCTCATATGCTGCATCCTTTGAAGATAAACAGCATGCTGCTGAGCCTGGGTGAACTGGCCACCATTCATCTGATTTTGTTGCTGCAATTGGTGCATTTGCTGTTGTTGCAGGAGCATTTGTTGCTGACGATGTTGTTGCTGGTGTTGATGCATCATCTGCTGTTGCCGTTGCTGCTCCATCATTTCTTGTTGCTGCAGCATCCTCATTTTGTTCTGTTGCTGAGCCATTTGCTGCTGCTGGGGGTTCATCGGTTGTGATGCTGATTGTCCCGCTTCTGAAGGAGTTTTCACCGTCTCCCCAACTGGCTCCATTGCGTCTAGTTCGTTTAAGTACACATCATATGTGTCCGGTCCCAGTATTGTAGTTGCATCGTACTTTTCCTGAAACTTACAACATTGTATTAAGCATACATGTGGATGGCCGGGCCGAGCCGGCCCGCATGCCTCAAAACCCTGGGCCCGCCTAGGACAACTTTTCGAAAATGTTACTTTTCAAATGTGCCAATATATTTTTAATAGCACAAGTATTAATCCAAATGCATACAACCATCCGAAAAAGTCAATTTAATTGAATTTTTAGAAAAAAAATCAAACTTCATTAAGCCAAGGATGGAATTTTTTTCTAAAAACGACCTCAAAACAGTTTTTTCGACAGAATCTTCCTCTAGTGTGGATTTTTATTTATTAAGGAGAAAAGCCATCTTGAAAAATGATGATTTGCTCTAAAATTTCGAAATTTTCAAAAAGCGGGCTGGCGATGTGTAATTTTTTCCGGCCCGCGGGCCGGCCATCTTTTCCACAAGTATGGTATTAAGAGTTTCTAGAACAAGTAATAGGCTTGAGGTAAAAATGATCTTGAAACTTACAGCAACCATAACTGCCAGCTTATCGAACCATTCTCCGTTGGGAACATCGAGACTGTTTTCGTCGGAAGTCGGTAAGCAGACACTCTGCATCCCGGACGGACTTGGCCGATGGATTGATCCAGGAGTTGGTACAGAATGCGGAGCCATAAACTGATGATGTTGTGCAGCAACTTGCTGCTGATGATACTGTTGCTGCATCTGATAACTTGGATGCATTGGAGCTGCTTGACCCATCCAATGCTGCTGCTGCTGAGCTCTTCTCCATTCCTCTTCAGCAGAAAGGCTACCAACATCATTTCTTCTTTTTCGATTATCAATATGCCCATTTCGAGATGCCGAAGCCACTGATGCATTCATCGCCTCCTTGTTCTTCTGATGTTCCATCCTCTTCCGCTCCTCATCCTCTGTGAATCTATGGTAGAGCTGCGCTGTCACTGCTCGTTGGCTTGAAATACTTTCTTGTCTCGTTTTCTGGAACTTCTCATATGCTTCTTGCGACCTGAGACGAGCCTCCTCTTGACCCTTGTTGTACACGGTCATTTCGCTCACAAGTCTGAAAACACTTTTCCTATTAAAAAAAACTGCGCTTAACATAATTTGGGGAAGACTAAATTATTTAAAAAAAACTCACGGCTCGTCATCTGGATCTGGCAATTCGTTGTTAACATATGCTGAATTCGGCTCCTCTGGTGGTGGCGACTGTGCTGATGAACCCGCTTTACTCGTTGACGGCTTCATTCCAGCGACGTCTTTTCCGGTGGTCTGAAATATCTCGAATCATTCAAGCATAGGAAGAGAATGTTGGAGAGAGCGAACGGATTGAACATGGAAAGAATAAAGTCGTGTGTAGAAAAAATGAAGAAAGGCTCCGAGAAAATAAAGAGGGAGAGTGAGGGTAAGAAAAGAAAGACACGACTAGTCAATTTCAAACATCTGATGTGCTTGTTATTAGGGTTGGCACGAGAAGCACAAAATCTCGATGGAGGGCCTCCCCGCCTCCTGACTGACTAGAAGGAATAGGAAGAAGAAAAAGAAAAGCAGGAGGAATAGAAGGACGGCAGTGTGGTGAGCAGTGAAATGAATGAGCAAAATGGGCGGAGGAAGAAGAAGAAGAAGAAGAAGAAGAAGAAGAAGACGGCGTGTGGCGTGGCGTAAGGCGAGGAGTGGCGAATTGTGGAAAAGAAGAAAGGAGAAGTATCTTGAATTTCTGAGCACATAAAGAGCAAAGAGAGAAAGACGAGGACAAACTGGGAGAAAGAAGAGCACAGGACCTCAGAGAACGACGAAAAGCAAACTTTCAATTATAAAGTTCTGGTAGAATGAATCCGTGAACAACATAGGAGAAAACTAATTCTATTGGGATAGTGAATATGGCCTAATCAAAAACAAAAAAGGGCTTACAGGTATAGGGGAGAACACAGCATTGTCAAAAATATAGAATTCTTCCTGCAACTACTTATTAATCTGAAAACCTTTTTTCCGGAAGATTACTGTATTAAATAAAATTACAGTAGATTACTGTATTAGCTAATTTTTGCTCGGTAGTTTCTGCAAACACCATCACGTTAAAATGCAGACAAGGGTAACGTAGCGCTTGCTTTTCATCGACAAATAGCCTTGTCGAATTGTTGAATATCGACTGTGTCGATTTTCAAAGTCGACAAAAATCATCGATTTTCGAGTCGACTCGGCACTCTAGCTTTAACTCCATTCACCTTCTTCAGCTTTCGTTTCTCAATTGCTTTCCTTTAGTTTTCGTGTGGTCCTAAAAATTATTATGCCTTGTCACCTCTGATGGAAATGAAAATGTTCATTAGTACGAGAAGCGAATTGCACTCGTAGTGTGACACAAGCAATTTAAAAAATATGAACAGTAACGACCAGCCGTTTAGGAAAAGATACGCACAACATATACATTCATGCACATACACATATATGCAGCTTTGCGGCGACAGCAGCGGCGCCATGCAAAAAAACCGAGGCGCCGAGAGTGAACAGAAGAGGAAGAAATTGAAAATGCGAAGACAAAAGCGAGTGAACGCTAGAATAGCGAGTGTATGTGAGACGAAGAGGCGCCGACGGAGAATCCAGTGGAACGCGAGTTCAATATTATAAACAGGAAGACAACATCAACGTTTGCAAATGGACATGAATAAGACTACTAAATTATAAAATATCACACAGAAAGTACCAAGATAAAAAGTAGAGATGATCTCATGAGCCGACATCACAAGAAGAACCAAAAACACGTAGAGGAAGAGAGCGGTTTCATGTGTGTATTTTCGGAATAAAAAAGGGAGAGTGTCTCGATGTGTTTAGTGAGTGTGTGCATGTGTGTATGCGAGTGTTTGCTGCATGTGTGTAGCCTGATGGCACGAAGCTTTACCGAAAAAGGTCCAGCACGTCAGAACGTGGCTCTATGAAGAGAAGGAGCCAGGTGAGAGCTAAGAAGGAGTCTCAAGTGTAAGAAAAGAGCACAACAATTATCATGACGACGAGGGTGGAGAAAAAAAAAAGAAGTTGGTAACTATGGAGCTGTGAAATTCCATCATCTAGCAAAGTCCATATAACCTCGTGAGACCGGATGGCTGTAGAATACACTTATTGTAAATGTCATCAACCCCGTTGATCTTCTACGTCTCAGCACACCGGACCGCCGAAAAGTGCAAAAGGCTGCGCATGCGCTTGGTCAGTGGCAAGATCAGAAGAGACCGCCTGGGTGATCACTCGAGACCTCGCTAATCCTCACTTTCGCAAACACTAACACATAAGTGTTTTCTTCGTTACAATCACACGAAACCCATAAAAAGGCGATGTTAATACATAGATAAATTGAGTATAACAAAGAAAATAAGTGTTGCCGAATTTTTCTATATCTTTTTACAATGATCATTTTCTTTGGAAGACTCAACCGAATGCTCTGTGAAGTCATTTGGTTTCCGAGCGTCATATCCTTTTGATAGAAAAAGAACCGAATGAGCACTACATTAAGTCACAGAAGGAACTGGGCGACATATACCACCATCGCTAACACCATCATCGCAGCGACCAGTGTTTCTCTTCTTGTCTCTCTATGTCTCTACCACAGGAATAAGTTCTAAGTTCGAAGATGTTGGAAAAGACAGAAATAGTGCAAACGACGGCATTGTCGGCCCCGACCGGAGATGTGAAGGAGTGGACGAAAAAAAAAGATGAAAAGGGAGAGAAGTAGTAGAAGTAAGAACATCAGAAAGTATAAACCAGCGAGAATCGAGTGCTAGTTGGTGGGTGACCCGTTTGCCCTTTCGACTCTTTTCGCGAATCAATTAAAAAGGCATAATTCGAAGAGGGGACACATTGCTACGAGGTTTCCTTCTTTCCATTCTCCAAACGACTTTTAGCGACGTTTCGTTTTAGATAAATGACAAGATGATAATTCTTGCAGGGTTCAGCTTTGTAACGGAGAAAGTGAGATTTGTGAGAGTGATGATGAGCTGACTAACAGTCTTCATTCTGAATCACCCCCAAAAAAATAGATTTCTAGGTCTAGACTAAGAAAAGGAAGAGAATGAGGAATAATAACTTTGAAAGATACTAAAACTTCTAGAATACTTCCGGATTGCCAGATAGACACAAATGATATAAAAGTAACTCTAAATATGGAAAAGGAGAAAGTAGGTAGTTGAAAATTCGGTGAAAAAAAAAAGAAAAACGTCACAATAAAACTGATAAGTGACTCGACGCAACGTCAAAAAAATTGGGTGTATGCATGGACGAAACAAAAAAGGAGATAGCCGAACGCAAAAAAAAACCACTGGCCAATTCATTATGTACAATAAAACGATTTGCTGATGAACAACGAAGAATAGACACCTATTTAGGTGCATACTTATTCTGTCGGTGTCATGAAATACCGAGTAGTCGTTTTTCCTTTTCTTCGGAGACACATATCGCTTCCGATTACTAGATCATCAGTTTACACGAGAAAATTGAAAGAGGGGGAAATGGGGGGAGACGTCGAAATAAATGAGAGGCGCGATCATCATCGACGGACGGGACGACACAACACAAACCGATGGCGGTCACCAGAGCGCGAGGAGCGGTGTCCCCCACGGACAGCGAATTGGAAGATATGGTGGTTGGAAGGAAGAAAGCACTGGAGACCAATCCTCGCGCGGCGGCGGGCGCCTCAATTCAAAATAACTCATCGGCGACTGCGATATAGTGATGGACAGAAGAATCGGAGTGTGTTCGTTTAGAATCTTTCAAGTTGCCGCTCTTGGTCTCTTCTGATGCTCTGTGTCTCGTTTCTATATATTATGTTTAATTGCCATGAACGTTACCACTGGAATCAGTCGGTTCGGACATAAATCAAAATAAAAAGACGTCTTTTTGTAGTATCTAATTCAAAAAAAACCAAAATAAAGCATATGATCAGTCTCTAGTACTGAAACCACGAAAGCAATATGTAAAAAACCAGAAATTGAAGTCGGATCTAAATCCCAAAAAATTTAGCGGATCCTTTTTTTACTTAAACGAACTGGATCTTAGTGAATTTGAAACGGAACAGAAGCAAAAACGATCAGATTTAAATCAACTTTCGCTTCCGGAAAACAATAGGAAGAATTAAAGAAAAACATGATCCTGTTTGAATGAAACAAGAAAAAAGAAATTGTATGAAGTGATATATAGTAAATCTCCAAAGAACAACCGTGGTACTTCTCTAACACATAAGATGAGATCAGGATAATATAAACTAGAGAATAGGTTATTAATCCTTGTATATGGCAACCGAAGGTGTATCTTTTCGAGCGACGTCACTCAATTGTGTCCCTTGAAATTCAGGGAGCAGCATAGCCGTGCTTGAACCGGGAATAAATAATAAAGCACCCAGACGAGAAAAAAAGAGTGTGCCAAAATGTCGTTGAGCAGCTTCTCGAATAAAAAAACATACACGAGCACACAAATTGGATGCCGACGGAGAGTTGGACACCAACGGGATGCAAGTTATGGAACAGAAACCGGCAGTGGTTAAATATAAAGTAGAAGCAAAACTTTCGTATATAAACCCGTTGTAGGAATTCGGTAAGGAGAAGAAGAACTGTTGCAGGAGAAGGCTCAAAATATTAAGAATAGTAAGCGAAGCCACCGTAGATGGAAACGAGAAACGGAGGAGAAGCATATTTTTTCTTGATGTCTTAGTATGTGTATAAACACACACGCAATCTCCCGTTGTTTCTGTCACCGTGTGTCTCCTGCTTCTTCTTCTTCTTTTTCGCATCTTCCTTTTCCCTACCAGAAAACAGGACCCCGGTCACCCACTTTCGGCTAGTTGCCGGCTTCCTCTGTGTTCCTGCTACATATCTTACTTTTTACTGCTTTTCTCTGATGCTGCTGCCGCTGTGGCGCTGATGATTAATAGGTGCTCGGATTCAGTTTCGTCCCCGTTAAAAGTGTATTTTATATGTACGAATAGAAGTGGAGACCGTGGAGTTTGAGGCAGAGCTCGTTTTGAGGTCATTAACGGGTTTTGTTAAGAGTACGTGACGATTCCTTTGGAGGATTGCTAAACACCGGGAAAAACAGATAACTTCCATACATGTGCTTTACATGGATTTTAACTGATCCTTATCACTGAGAAGAAACTGAACCTCCGGAGCTGTGTCAAAAATGAGTTTCGAAAACACTTGTTTTCAGTCAAATCAAGAAAAAACTGTCTACTCAATTGCAGGAATGACACCGTCCTAAACCAGGTTACTCCGTGCAGAATTAGAGATGAAACAAATATAAACAAACATATAGCCGGTTGAGGAGGAGAGTGAAGAGGCGGAAAGAGAAAGAGAAGAGAAGAGGTTATAATCGTGCCATCGTCACCCACGGTATGGCCAATAGCAACAATAACAAACCGTGATCGCTACGAGGGAGAAAGGGCTGATGGATAGTAGTAAAGAAATGAGGCGAGAGAAAAGAATGGGGAAAAGGAAGAGAGACTTTATAGGGAGGCCCAAAAAGAGAGGGGCGAAACAGGAAGGATGGACAGTACGAGTTGTGTGGCGAGCCGAGACCGATTGAGGGCAATCGAGGGCAAGATTGTAAATGTGGAGAAGACCACAGAAACGACACTTACATGTGTTTATGTGCATGTCGTGAACCAGAAATGAAGACCAAAAGATATAGGAGTTCAAATTATTAATACCATCATTTCGGCTAGTCCATGCACAGTGAACGTCTAACTAATATACCGTATTTCCAAAACAGAGTATGGATACCCTAACCGAATAGAAAAATGCACAGCCAGGGTGGGCTTCTATTAGAGGAAATAGGTTATCATAACATTTTTTGAAATAAAAAACAACAAATTTTAGATTCGATGAACTATGAACTCTAACGGAACGTCTAACTAAATTCATCAAAAATATATGCCTTCTGGAACAAACTAATTTTGTTGATAGCCCAGCCATAAATGTTAGATTCTCGCTACTTCCTATGAGATCTAACGGAACTCACAAGTACAGAGAACAACCAACACGGAATAGAAAGGGATCGCAGGTGCGCGACGTGTTCGACTATTCAATAGAAACTTTTTGGGGTTGCGAACACTTTTTTGTGTGCACATTTGCACCTGTCGCGATGCCTAATTACGCGTCATTTAGCTGGTATGGACAGATTTAGGCTCTAGATAAGGTGGATACTAACGGTTAGTCTCCATTATTCTGGTACGAAAATTCGGTGCTGTGGAAAAGAAAATCTTGTGGGCGTGGCCAACGGTTACCGTAACGAAAACCATAACCTGAGATTTTCGGCCTTTTTTCTCGATAACTGTTGCTTTTTGACAACTTTCGTTCTGAAAACCTTCAAAAAACGATGCCAAGAACTGCATCTTTCTAAAATACTGCCGGAAATGGAGGAAAATCGAGAAAAATAGATACTTGCTAGCTACAGTATAGTCGGCCACCAGGTTTTCTCTTCCACAGCTCATTGCTTCAGGTCCGGAGCGGTATAGTCGAGCAAAGCTACTCCACAAAATCGACACAAAAAGGAAAACAGAACGTATTAAATAATTAAAAATTGATTTCTCATGACATAATATATTTCTACTCGGGGATCATCCCACCGAGTTATCAAAAACATATTCACAAAAATTACGCAAATCAATTACTTTGTTCGGAAGCGAAGAAAAGAAAAGAAAAACAGATGATAAATAACAATTAAACAACCTAAAAGAAAAACAAAACATTTGAATGATCTAAATACTAATTTAAACAGAAATATCACGAAAAAATGTTAAAGAGCGTTTTGAGCGGCTATCTGTTCCTGTTCATGAAGTTTGTGGACCAGCTTCTGCTTTTCCGTATTGAAATAATCTGCGAACCATTTCAGGTGTTCTCGTTTTTTCGCAGCTGTCATGTATGGATTCTTGGATAGACCAACGCACACAAGATGCATGAAGTGAGCAATCGGTCCGGTTTTTGGTATGCCTAATGAAGGAAGATGCCGTTCCAAAAATACATGGTCAATGAAAGACACATTCGCCTCTTCTCCCATTTTGAACTCGTTATCAATTGGATACTCCCACTGTTTTCCTTTTGATGTCCACTCAATTTGCTCTTCGAAAGCGTTCGTCGGCCCGAAGGATCCGTTTGCAATCCTGGAAATAGGGGAAAATAAAACTAGAGCACATGGAACCAATCAAACTTACAGTGCCGCTCTTTGATCCCATTTTTTCCAAAATCCGAGGGAAAAATCTTCATAATTTTCGTTTTTCTTCCATACTCCAAGAGGCCTCTGTTGGAAGAGTTTTACGGCGTCGTTGTCCACAAGAACTGGCTTACGTGCATCACTATTAATAACATCATCTTTATAAATTTTCTCCATGAACTCGAGGGCAATTGCGAACAACTTCTGCTCTTTTTCGCTTCGTTCTGTCTGCTCTGTTTCCTCTTGTTCTGCTTTTTCTCGAAGGTTATTCAACAGAGCTTTTCTTTGTTCGATGAGTTTTTGTTGTGCATCATTAACGATGGTTTCTGATTTAACGCGTGCTTCTTCTGTTGTGAATCCGCTTTGTACAGCCTGATAGAAGATTTCTTTTCGGAGAAGCACAAGACCTCTTTTTTCCTGCCGAAGTTGGGCGGATCTAAATTGAGATTATTTGAACATGGCTCGTAAACTTTATAGCGTTCAATCAACTCACTTGGGAGGGATTTTCCTCTCTACTTTGGCATCTCCGGCGACATCAGCGAGAAGCCCAATAAGGGCCTGATCATCGAGAATTTCGCTGCTCGCCGAAGCAGAAGCAGCATCGAAACTCGCCTTTTCGCTAGCCACGAGTCGATTGATGAGAGTATTTTTCAATCTGAAAAGTTTTTCAATCAAGAAAACTATTGTAAGTTTTAACGACGATTTTTCACTTATTAGAAAAACAGACCGAAACCAATCATTTATGTCTTTCTGGCTGATAAATGATGATGATGCTGGCAAAACCTACGATTTCTTTTCTGTTCCATTTTGTGGATGAATGTTGTCCGCAACCCCGTCGATAGCCTTCAGAAGATCTTCGTCAATAACATCTTTTGGTTTCGGTCTTTTCTATAAGATTTCTTTTAAGAAGCCATATCAACTCGAATTCCTTAAAACTCACTCCTTCATCGTCACCGCCACTTGTTGTGCTCGACAAAAGTTGTTGTTGCCTCTTACTACCAAGTCGAACTGCTACTGAACACAAATTTCTGAGCATCTGAAAAGTCTTAGTTTATCTCGCACAAGCTTGGATGAACAAGGTAATTTATAAGAATGATATGAGCAATTATTATTATATTATTTTGTAATCTAGTCGATCTATTTTGCAAGCTATTTATCATTTACGATTTTTTGGAAAAATTGAGTATTTTGATATTTTTTTGAGTTTGCGAGAATTGGTTTTTTTTTTCGTAAAACAACTATTCAGCTCGCAGCTCGAAAAACTGTTCAAATTTCCCTAATTCTCTCAAGTATGATTTAAGCTGAAATTGTTTTTGAGAACAATTCTGTATAACCAATCAGACGAACTTGCGGATTTTTATAGATATATTTCTGAGAACAGATAAAAACACAATTGTAAGCGTTGAACTAGTCAAAAAATTGGTAAATGATAGAGTATTTCCTTGGAAAACTTGAAAAAAATCTCGAGACGCTGAAAAAATGGGAGCTTTCGTCTCCCGCTAAACAATGCGCGCCCCGTTATTTCGGAGTGTCGTTGTGCGTACTTTAGAAATCGCTGCCAAATGCTTTCAGTTTTTTTCTTTCATTAAATAGCTCAGCACTTTCAATTTAGCAAACAGCTGCGAAAAAGGGCTTTTTTTAGAAAACGGGGGTGAACCACCGAGAGTTAATCATCGTGGCGAGACCAAGAAAAGTGGTGAAACCGTGGTGGATAGAGAGTTTTTCAGTAAACAGTGGTGAATAGAAATTTTCAGGAAGCAGGGGTGAATGAAAAAACACCCTACCCTTTGAAAACTTATGTTTTTTTTTGAATATTTTTTCACATGTTTTATCTTTGCTAATTTCGCTTATAAATTTGAGAACCATGTTTTAGAGATATTTAAAGAAGAATGCGAAAAAGGTAAGAAGAAATTACCAATAATATTATAACTATTTAGAAATCGAACTCATAGCCGGGAAATGGCAGGACTAAAAGAATTGTTTGGAGTAATTTTATGCCAAGATTCTGAATGAAGTAAGCAAATTTCAAACTTATGGATACGAAAATTCGGTTTTACCGAGAAAGGAACTTGTCTGGTCAAAAAATTTATGGAATATTCTATATACTTCAGAAGTTTTCTAAGTGTAAGTAGCTAAACAACACCGGTAAATTGGTAACTCATATGATCTTTTTCCAGCAAAATGTCCCTAAATATAGTGAGTCTTCCTTAAAAACGTCGAGATTTTACAGGTCACTTTGATGCCATACTTTGTCTGAAGATTTAGAAGCGCGCATATATTGCTTGATAACGTTCTATCAAATGAAGATGTAGGTGATATTAACCCTATTTACGCTAATTTTATGTTTTTCAGAGGAAGAAGACAAGTGATTGATTGTGGGAGATGGAAAGCTCGAACAGAATTATGCCGCAAAGAGCTGTAGTCCGATCAACAGGCTGCTAAATAATTGAACTTTCATTAAAATTTCAATACATCTTTTTTTAGTCATTCTACTTGATTTTGTGTTTTTTTTTTCAATGGAATAAAGTCGAAATGCAAAGAAAAGGGGCGGGCAAGCGCGCTCGAGGGCACCTCCAAAATTTAGGAAACAGTGACAACTTAGTTCCGCCAGAGTTTCGCCACTGTTTCGCCACCGCTTCGCCGCTGTTTCCTAAATTGAAAGTGCTGAGAGTGTGTCACAGCTACTTTTCTCTACTTTTCTTTTCTGATCATATCCAATGCTTTTGTTTTTCTCCCATAAGCTAATCTAATGTGTTGATAGCTGTCTTTGACGAAAAATCGGCTCTGGATATTCCAATGGTATTTTTGCTTTCTTATTCCTTGAATACCGTACAAAAAGATATTATTTATATATCTCTCTCTCTCTAGTATTGAACAGTTAGCGCAGACCTTTTTATTGCTTTTCTATTTGGATTTCTTTAGTTCATCAGACCAAATTGCTTGTTTCAAACTATTATATGAATTTCCATCATTCATGTTCTCTGCTTATACGAAAAATAATATGAAGTGGTCAAAACAAAACAAAAAATTGTCTTCTTCTTCTGTGCCTACTCAAAAGGCCTTCCTAGAGCCAACAGGCCTCATCACTCTGTTGGGCGGTGCATCCGTTTTCTTCTTCTTCCTCGAAGTGTACGAAAGAGATGCGGCCTTTCGAGAGAAAAAGAGTCCCGCTTTTTCCCACTGGCAACTGAGTGCACTTGATTTTTTTGCTATTCGAAAACGTCTTCAATTTTTTCGCTTCTTTACAAACATTTATTAGTCTTCTGCAGTTTACTAAATATAAAAAAATAGGTGGAGCAGTTTTCCTATTTCCAATTTTTACTTTTATTCTAGACGTGAATAAATATCACTTTCTTCGTCTTTCTTTAGTATCTTCTCCTCGTCTTGAAATGAGAATTATGTATAGTGGAGTCTTTTTAAAAAGGTCGAAAAAGCCCGAGAAGAATGCTGTGAGCGGTTACATAATTAGGTTTTTTCTTCGTGCTTTGCTCGCTACCCTCTGCCCCGAAAGAGAATTTCAACATATTATGCTTGTCTGAGAAAAAAAAGGTTGAGACGCAGAGAAAAAGTGTCTGCATCTCCACCGTTTGTGTGCTATTTAGGCTCTCCGCTTCGATATAGCTACCGTATTCAGACTGCAAAAAATACTCTCTAACATTTTTTTCTCAGACAAGCATAATATTCCTCCTACTCTTTTTCTTTTCTCTTCTTATTAATCTTCGTCAATCCTAGAACGAGAGTTGGTTCGAAATAGTTCGACTACTCTAGCTACAGTAATCCCTCAATTACTAATCCTACTTCTTCTCCAAACAGAACATTTCTCTATATTCCGTTTCGTAAGCCCCTGAAATATTTTTTCGTTATCTGCTTTTGCATCTCTTGTAACCCAAATAAGACCCTTCAAAAGCTCCTCAATTATTCGACAAGACAGAAGAGCTCTGCTCTCATCGCGGTTCTTCTTCCTTCCTTCTTTTCCAGTTCTAGCCTCTCTTCGTCCTCATCGATGGGTACTCCCAATTAGAAGCTCTGCAGTTTTTCCAATACTCACGAAAGAGCCATTTCGAAGATAAGCGTCGTCCTTTGTTAGGGTCTGAAGTCTACCCGCTCATCCATTTTGGTAAATGTGAATTTCAGAATTTCAAATTCATGACTGCTTCTCGTCACCAGTCACTCAGCATCTCTCGCGCCCCCGGCTCCTCGAAGAAACCCTCTTGGGAATGGTCTTTTTGAAGAGAGAGCCGGCTTCCCCTTTCGCCTTCATTGCGAACATTGCAAACATTGACCGCGGCAGCTATCGTCGCCGTCGCCGCGCCTCTTGTTTTCATTCATCCTGACTTATTGTCTCTTGGCATCGATTACGCAACATTCCTCCTGCTACTCATCTGTAAAATTCTGATCAACACCGTTAGGGATTGTATTGTAAGTCGTTAGCAAATTTTGTAAGTGTTCGAACAAACAAAAATGAGTCAACTGACATTTGGCTTTTCACCATGCACTGTCATTTTGTTACAACAGTATTGCTATTTAGCAAATGTTTGCCGAATCTGTTGTGGAAATCTATAAACTTTATTGAAAATTTTGAAAAGCGGAAAAAAAACTATTTTTTTATGATTCGCCTGACACAACTAACTAGGAAATCTTGATGATCAGTGTATTGCGACTATGCACTTGATAATCAAATGGAGTATCCGATAGCATCCCGTCAAGTGGTCATAGCACTCAAGGGAAATGATAATCTTGGTAACGCACTATCTATTCTCTTATTCTTTCGTTATCAGCGATCATAGATAACATAACAGTGTAATTCATAATTAATGATGGCTGATAATTAATAGTTTATCCAGCTTATCCTTCTTATTGGTATTTTCAGCGATCCTCCGGAGTGCACATCACATGATCATGAGTCCAGTAGTACTGGACCAGTACTCTTTAAGAATTTTCGTTTCATTAATTTCTAATCAGTATGGATCCTCTTCTAATTTGGAATTCGCACTTCGCACATGTGACTAACCATTCTCGGGTTGAATTATTCATTCTATTGTACTTCTCAGATACTCCAAGTCCACACAAAGCCAATCTCAATACTTTTCCTGAAGTAATCATCTCGTCATGTTCCGTCAACAAAGCCCAAGAAATATTGGTCCTTTTTGCGAAAGAGAAACCTGATATCCCTTCTGGCTCAGTTATTTTTCAATCCAGCCGTCTCATCATTTTCTTTTCTTTCTCATTATTCCTCCATGGTCGTCTTGTATGCCTAATCAAATTAAGCTAATCGGTAGAACGAGAATCCTCCTCACCAACCCATTTCGTAGTAATCGTCTATTTTATATTCAGTCATTCAGCTCGAAATAGTGGTGAGACACGAATCCGGTTTTTTCTTCTGTTCACTTTGCTGCTGTACTGTTATTGTCCAGAAAAATTGTATTAACGCGGTTTTTAGAATCCGTCGGACTACTCCCTATTGAATAACAAACTAATTTCTAAGAAAAATTGTTCTAGTGCATGAGCATTATTTGGTATAGAATGACCTATTTTTGGAGTGTTACTGTTTATTATCATGACTAGTTGGTACAGAAAAGTAGAGATAATACTTTCGTCTATTTATTGCCACAATTGTCTTCTGGCGTTATACAACGACTGCCATATTCCTCCCTTCTCATACTGTTGCCAAGTTTAACGTTGAATTTCTCAAAAAAAAACCTGAAACAATATCCGATCAGTGCAGCTATGGTCGACCCTGATTACAACTCGACAAAAAATATAGAAAGGAAATTAGATTACAGTCGTGACATCAGTGTGAACAGTTGACCAAAAAATGTAAAAGAAGACCTCCCACGAGCAACTTTGAATGCACAATCTGATTTCGTGGTATCTCTTCTTTCCTCCAGTCATTCGGTGGCCCTTCTCCTTTTCCCTTACTCTTTTTTTTTATTTTTTCACAACTGCCTCCTCTGTCCGTTTTTCGTGTGAAATGACTCCTCCCACTTCCCATATCCTCCCTTTCTTTTTTGCCTTCGTTCATAGTTGCTGACACCAATTCACTTCACGTCGATCCGCAAACCACGCCAACGTCAAACTGTCACTTTTGTGGTGATCCTGAGACTAGGGAACGGTTCTTTCCCTCCGCCTACTTTCGTCCATTCGCCCATATTCCTATTCATGAAAAGGTGTCTATGAGCAAACAGCCAATTCCTCCTTTCTGCTCTCCCAATCTGCACACTCAATTCTTAACCAACTATACCTTTTCTTGTTATTGTTGTTGTTTGATTCGTTGCCGTCACCGCCAACGACGAAAAGCAATAGCTAATCTGGGTTGGAATGGCGTCCGACATGCTCTTCAACCGTCGTTTCGATGAATTTATTCTTGAATGCCGTAGTTCAGACCGTCCGACTTCTGCTGCCGTTCTTCATCGTCCTCGGAAGAAGATTTCCGCGTTCGTGAATGCGATGGCTTCCGCAAGGTCCTCTTCTCCGCAAAGTCCCAGCAAGCATATTACGGTAAGGTTTAGTTTTCAAGAATTCTCATAGTTCTAAAATTTGTTGCTGTCATAGGATATTGCTTTTTTTCTCAACTTTTGAACATTTCCAGTCACCAAAGTTCAGATAGCACTAAAACTCATTGGAAATTTTAAAAGTCACCTCATATCTCATTACATGAATAACTTATCGCACCTTCGTCAACTTCCTGTTATTCTAAAAAATCCCACATTTGAACATTTGAGAAAATCGCGAAAACCCGAATGCGACATCGCTAAAATAATTATATGGAGAAATTCATTCAATTAGCAGAAGTAGCCACACGACAACGACTATGACCATTCCATAACTGAATCGATTCAATCATCACTTCCTCTTGAAAAAAAAGACAATAGGATTCTACTAGGCGGAAGAGATGAAAAGAAATTTCTCTTCTCTTTTCCGCATGGTTTTTTATTTGGAGGGGCGTGATTCGCCAGGTGAAAGAAGCAGGCAAATACTGACAAAAACACACCTGTGTCTTTCTTTTCTCGGCAGTTCCGATCGCCTCATTCTGCCTGCTCAAAGTGCATAGTTTTCTCGGTTGGTCTCTCACGCCCCACTGAATTGTCTTATCTCGCTATGATTTGCCGCTGGTTATCACTATCATTTTCACTCTGACTTTCTACGACTTTTTTTCGCCCGATTCCCCCCTCAATCATATGGCTATTCAGAATTGCAAGGTTAGATTTAGGAATTTTTATTATTTCGCAACCAAAAGTTTTCCTCATTATAGTTAAGTTTGGAATGCCCTGTTTTTTGTTGGGAATAACATATTAGTCACGAGTCCACGTCATGTTTTATCCGGTTTTCCGAAACATTAGACACCCAACCTGGTGAACTATGTAACATGAGAGAGTAAATGTTTTTGGTAGAAAGCTTAGCAGCTTAGTGCTCCAGTCCCAGAAAGCGCACTCTCTGAAAAATGAGAAATGAGCGACGTTGTTTCGAAAATTTATGAGCCGTAGTAAGAGTCTTCAATGATGACGAAAGAAAAGAGAAGTAGAAGAAGAACAAGGAGAATAAGAAGGATAAAAATAGGAAATAGGACAAAATGACAAATCGGTTTTTTCCAGGTCGTGGACGTCTACGATTTAGCCGCGTCCATTGGCAACGATTTTGAAAAACTCATCGACAATTATGGAAATGAGTGTGTACGCGGAATCATGCCTAAAGTGGGTCAACAAACGAAATAACAATTTATCTATTGGTTGGACTTTCAGGTTATATCCGCATTGGAAACGCTGGAAGCCATGGCCGCCGGAAATGATAGAGAGAACGAAGAAATCATGAGATTATCGAAAGCGGTTGAACGGCTTGAACAAGAGAAACACCAGAGAAATCAACAGCACTTGAAATTTGAAGAAGAGCTGGAACAAGTTGAAAAAACCTACCGTAAGGATATCGATGATCTACAACAGATGGTGAAAAATCTCGTAAACGAGAATCGGAATCTCTCAACGACCGTTTCATCTCTTCCTACCAACAACGATAGTCCAGTGAGCAGTTCGAGTAAGTTTTTTTTGTTTATTTTGTTTCAAAAATTAAAAATCATTGAAACAGAAAATTACCGTAAAACCTCTAATAGAACGACACCCGGATCGTCCACTTTGAGCCTATATATCTCATTTCTTTTGGAAGATATCAAAAAGTGGTTAACTAGTAAAATGTTTATCAGGATATCAGCAACATTTTACTAGTTAGCTACTTTTTGATATCTTTCGCAGAAAATGAGATATATAGGCTCAAAGTGGACGATCCGGGTGTCGTTCTATTAGAGGTTTTACGGTAAGTTATGTGATAAAATTAATTCCCTTTCTGTGCTTATCTTTAAAAACGACCAAAGTTTTTTATGTGCAGTAGAATTTGTGGAAAAACATGTATACATCTATAAGTTCATCAAAAAATGAAGGCAAAAATGCAAAAAATCCCATGACCTAAGAAAAACACTTCAAAATGAAAAACAAAATTTAGAAAGTCGTTCCTGGAATCTATTAAACGGTTCTCGGAGTTTTTTCGAATCCCCGCCAAAACTAAATACTCTCTGCTTTGTATTCTCAAAATTATCGGAAGATGGCCGAAAGATCTTACTTTGGTGGGAGTTCAAAAAGTGAAAAAATTATAACAAGAGCTCAGACGTTGGTTTAAAAATACATTATTCTTGATACCGAGCCTTTATTTTATTATTATACGGAACTGAAAATTAGTGGTTGGAGTCACTTTGCAATTAATTAAAAAAAATTTTTCAGTGCGAGAAGCCGATCTGAGAATGCTGCTGGAACTTAAAGAAATGTCGGCTCAACAAAAAGATGAGATTAAAGCACTCCAAAAAGATGTGGACACTTATCAGTGCCAAGTTGAAAATGTAAGCAACCTAATCTCATCATTTTTATCTTCAAAATATTGTCTTCCAGCTTCAAAATTCTATTGAAAAGCTTATTCGTCAAAACGAAGAATTATTAAGAAAGAATTCATCGCTTCAAAAGCAAGGACGAGTGATTGTCGAGGAGAAAATGGAAGTATTAAAACGATTAGAAAAGACGGAAGAATCGAATATTGAGCTCAAAAAGCTCGTTAAAGAAACAGATCGTGCCTGCAAGGATATGCAAGTAGCTAACCAGGATAACAATGAACCAAGGTTTACACTGGGTGAACTACGAGAAGTTATAAAAGAGAAGAACATTTTGAAAGGACGCGTCATGGAGCTCGAAGAAGAACTAGAGCAATTCAAACCTGGAGCAAAGAAAGAAATCATGAGATTAGATGATGACGATGATTCTGATCAATTGGCTCCGTAAGTTTCTTTAATTCTGATAGTGATCAGACAAAATGGAAAAAAAAATATTTTTAGAAACTCTGATGATGCCAATAGAACTGGTGATGATGAGGAAGATCTACCAGTATACGGACCATTACCAAAAGAACCTGATGAAAAACTCCATCCATGGAAGTACGAGAGGAAGGATTCTGGAGTACGGAAATTGTAAGTTTGATGAGAAAAGAACCTGATAAACAATCTAAAAAATAAGTGTTCAGCTTCCGCTTTTTCAAAGACTTTGGAGCGACTGCATCACCCCGCCGAGGATCATCTGCGAACGCGTCTCCACGTTTACCGGCTCGTGCAATCCCTCCCTCCCTCAATTAGTCGTTTTGGCGCCCATCATTCTACCAGTTCATATATTCTTTTCTGCGCTCGTTTTCTTATTCAAGTGTCTATGACACCTGTTTTTACCGTTGACTTATTTTTTATCATCAACTCACTGATCTCACTACTAGTCAACCCCATTTCAGCTTCAAAGTATTACTGTACAACATCTCTCATGCCCCCTGTCCCGTCTGATGAATCGACTAACGATGTACTAGGCTCAATTTCACTGCTTTTTTGCTCCCCAAAAAATCACCCGAAATCTCTTTTTATCTGGGTGCTCCAAAATCTATTCACGTTCTCTCCCAGTGTTCTCCCCAGTTTCCTATTCTGTCCTATTTTGCTCTTCCTGTGGCATATATGTAATTATGTGTTGTCATGCTTGATCACTTTCTTCGGAAAAAAAATAGAATTTCTTAAGATTTTTTAAAAATTTTGTTTAATTGCATATTTAAGGAATCATGATAAAAACCCAACAAAAAAGAACCGGACCACATTTGTTTTCAATTTTCAAACTGCCGCCATCATGTCTTCCTCTCCGATTCTCTCTGGTCAGATTTTCGGAAGAAAAATCGAAACTTGGGATTGTGTAATACGAGTGGAGTGCAGGGAAGAGATGGCAAAACGGAAAAATTCAGACAGCTGTTGAGCTGAACAATTCGCTCGGTTGAAAAGAGCCTGATCTGATCTCCGTTTTCCTGATTTTATAATTTCCATATACTTATTGATATGAAGTTGAAGTTACCGTAAACCCTGTAATAGAAAGGCCTCTCTACTTGCAACTTTCAGCCGATTTTCCTCTGTTCCTGTCAAAGATAGGAACAATTTGTCAACTGATGAATTGTTAATCATAGTGTCACCACTATTTTTCTGGTTGACACATTTTTGGTATCTTGTATAGGAATTGAGATAAACGAGCTCAATCGTGGCAATGTGGGCCTCCCTGTAAGACATCAGTAAAGTATCCGGAGACAACGACAGATATGATTAAATTTGAAGGAGAATCATTCTCTGAATGGAGAATCAATCTGGTATGGAGAATCAATCTCATTCTCTGAATTAAAGCACAGACAAAGAGGGACTGTCAGAAAAACGAGCCGTCCGCGCGCTGCCGACAGCCCGTCTGCAACTATCTGAACACTGACCGTCTGAAGCAATAGCGCTTTCTGGACAGTTCATCGTTGAACAGCTATTCCCCCAGATGTTATTTATTTTATCGATAGTTTCTGTAGATGGTGCATTATCGACTTTCTTTCAAGTCGGCTCTCCAAAGGGTTCCGATGGTCCGTCGATAGTCCGACAACAGCCTGTCAGTTCTCCACGGATGTTATTCAGCTTCTTTCAGCAGTGCCCTTTTACCTTTGTACTAAAAATTATGTCTTATTGTTTTTTTTTAATCTTGTAATTTATAGTAAATGGGTGATTCAAACACTTGGGATCTAGTTGGAGAGCAACAGCAAAGGAAGAAAAGCAGATCACCATCCAGAGCGAGTCGAGTGGATTCCGAGGTTTGTCATGAAGATTTTCAAATTTTAAAACCGAGATTTGGCTTTCAAAGCCCCTCTGAAATTAGGATTCGATTTTTTCAACCTATTTTTTTCAGGAGGTTAAAAATTCAAACATGAAAACAAACTCATAACCTAAACGCTAATGGAATGTAATTCAAACAATCAACTTTAAACCCATATATCTCATTCCCTACAAAAGATACCCAAAAATTATTAACTGATAAAGTGTTTATCATAATATCAAACAACATTTGCTAGTTGACATCTTTTTTGATATCTTTCACAGGAACCGAGATAAATTAGATTAAAAATGAGATCCCATCAGAGTTGTTACAGTAAAAAGATTTTCGAAAAATAAAAAAATAACAACGAAGTTTTAAATGTACTCGAATAAAATAATCTTGAATTTCAGTTACTGGTAGGAGTAGAAAATGCAGCTGAACTTGAAGCTCTAGGTCTTGGAAAAGAGCAATTAGAGGAAGAAGCAAGAAGACATAAAAAGCAAAGAAGCAAATCTCCAGCATTGGAAAATATCCGGAAAACTTCTATTCATATTCTTCAGGTAACTTTTGAAAAAAAGAAATTATTCTATTCAAAAGAATTCAGAAATTCGGAGCGATTCCAAAGAAGAAAGATGACAGTGTATTGTTATTTAGACATCAAGATATTCCAGATATTTCTTTGGAATCTTTATGTATCAGGTAAAAAAGAGAAGAGAAAGGGCAATTCAAACATTTGTATTTAATTCAGGCCAAAAGAATTTTTTGAAGAGCCAAAAGTCTTCTCTTTTCGAGATATGGGAAGAGAGCAACAGAAAGCGGAAGTCAATGAAAAATGGTAAATCCAGGTACCAACTTTCTAAATTTGCTGCTCATTCCAGCTCGTATCTGTTCCGTGGAGCATCTTTCGACCAAGATGATCATTTTGAACTTCCAACTGAAACGGGAAGAATTCCAGAATATGATCATTTCTGTCCAATTCATGGCTCCAGAAGACGTCTCCCCAGAAATAAACTTGTCACAATGCAATCCTTAATGCATTCTGTAGATGGAGAGGATAATGAAGATCTTTCGTATATTTATGGGTGAATTTTTATCATAATTTTCTAGCAATTTCAAAATTTTCAGTCACGACTTTCTGGCGAAATTGGTTCGAAAAAAGAAACGAGAAATGTTGAGTGGTGCAGAAAAAGAAAGAGCCACAAAGATCAAAAGAAAAATTATGGTAGAAAATAATATTGAACTCTTATAATCAAAAATTTTGTTTCAGTCAAATCTGTGGATTCTCTCTGTTGCACTTTTGTTTTTATTTACTGCATTCAATGGATTACAAAACTTACAAACTTCTGTGAATGGAGATTTAGGATCGGATAGTTTAGTGTAAGTTGTAGGCCGAAAGATAATTGATTTCAATGAATCTTCAGAGCTTTATACTTATCACTTGCAATTTCATCTCTTTTCGTACCCTCATTCATGATCAATCGTCTCGGGTGCAAAATGACATTCCTTGTTGCTATATTTGTCTACTTTCTTTATATTGTTATCAATCTCCGGCCAACGTAAGCTACAATCCTTTAACTCAAAGTGATAAAACTCCAAAGTTCCAGTTACTCCTCAATGATTCCGGCTTCGATATTTTGTGGGATTGCAGCGTCGTGCATCTGGGGAGCCAAATGTGCATATATCACAGAAATGGGAATTCGATATGCTAGCTTGAATTTCGAAAGTCAGACAACAGTTATTGTCAGGTATGATTTCAAAGAATATCGTTTGACTAGCTAGATTTCGAAGCGAGTTTTGGGAAGAATTTTTGGTCATCTGCTGGATGAAACGTGTCACAATAACTAAAAAAATAAAGGGAAGGATTACTGTAGGGGGAATTATTGGAAAATTAAGAGGATTTCTGTAGGGGAAAATATTCGAGAATGAAAAAGATTACTGTAGGGAAAATATTCAAAATTGAAGAGGATTAAAATTTTTCAAAAATTGAAAGGATTATTACAGGTTCTTCGGATACTTCTTCATGATAGTTCATTGTGGCCAAGTGGTTGGAAACGTTGTCTCTTCATATATTTTTACACTATCCTATTCTGGATCACTACGAGGACCGGAAGATTCTATTTATGACAGGTTTTTGAAAACTAAATATTTTGAAAAATACAAATATTGTAGCTGTGGCTATCAATTCCCTAAAAATCTCTCTTATCTTTCCGAACTGGCTGAAAGTAATCTAGCAAGACCTCCTCAAAAAGTTTATGTAGCAGGTGAGCAATTAGGTAAATTTATGGAAATCATTATTTTTCAGTTTGCCTTGCCTATCTAGCTTGTATTATCATCAGTGGAATGATTATGAGCATGTTCCTGAATGCATTGGTAAAAGATACGCGTAATAGGTTGAACGAGTTGTGATTCATGTTAGCGCTGAAGACTCTATTACAGAAAAATGGCACAGCGGTTCAATTCAGAAATAATTACACTGATGGTGAAACATTTGATAAATATAAAGTTCCTGCTGTTGGTTCCACTCACAATTTTTAATGGTTTAGAACAAGCGTTCCTAGTTGGAGTGTATACAAAGGTAAGACTTTCAAAATACCGTTTTTGTTCTGATAGAGTTCCACCCAAAGCCTTCTTTGAGCTCAATTTTCTCTATTCCTGTGAGAGATATCAAAATTTTTTCAACTAATAAAACATTAATCATAACATCACCAATACTTTATGAGTTTACGATTTGGGTGGGGTTCTATCAGCGGAAATACTGTTGTCAATTTTTCCCGGTATTACGGTATTCAGGCATTTGTCGGATGTGGTCTTGGTATCTGGCAAATTGGTTTTGTAATGGCTTGTTTTGGAATATCAGACGCGATTTGCTCTCTTGTTTTCGGGCCATTGATCAAACTTTTTGGTAGAATGCCTCTTTTTGTTTTTGGTGCAGTCGTAAATCTTCTGATGATTGTCACACTTATGGTTTGGCCACTGAATGCAGCCGACACTCAAATCTTCTACGTCGTTGCAGCAATGTGGGGAATGGCTGATGGTGTATGGAATACGCAGATTAATGGTATGTTTTTTTTTCAAAATTCGATTTTTTAGAATCTGTTCATTCAGGCTTCTGGGTTGCTTTGGTTGGAAGGCAATCTTTGCAGTTTGCATTCACAAAGTATCGCTTCTGGGAGTCATTGGGAATTGCGATTGGATTCGCTTTAATCAGGCACGTCACAGTAGAAATGTACCTACTCATCACATTCTTCGTTCTTCTTCTGGGAATGTGCGGCTTCGTGGCCATTGAAAACTTTGATCACATTATGGTAAGTTTTCATCTATTATTGCCCAATGTAACTTGATTCGTCTGTTTGCATAAGTTTAGAATTTCCAAAAATTCAATGTCCTTTTCAGTGTTTCTGGAAGATACTCAAGGAAAACTCTCAAATGGAAAAAAAAGCTGCTTGTGTGGAGCAGCAAAGGAGTGATTCTGTGAGAAACAATTCAAAAGTGGAATCGGAACATAAAACAATGTATTAACCTAAATTCGGCATGCGTAATAAAAAAGTTCAAATTAAATTCACTAATTGCACAAGAATAGAATCAAAGTCGAATAAAATGAAGGGTACAAAATTGTAAAACGTTCAGTAAAAATTATCAAGGATGAATCTCCATATTTGGGTTCACTATCCGTAGATCGTCAATCCAAAATTTTCACAGCTGCTTGACCTCTTTCAAAAATGTCCAGAATTGCCTTTCCATGTTTTTCCATCATTACTGCATCAGCCATTCCAACGTCATAGAGTGACTTCAAAACAAATCTGAAACCGAATCTTCATCCACCGTAACGCTATCCGAACTTACGTCAGAACATTAGACTTATCGAATGGAGTACACTGTATGCATTTGCCGGCTAGAATCAGTTTATCTTGCAGCTCTACTGGTGGCTCACCCAAAACTGTTGGACGAAGGCAAACCTTGGCGCGAAAGTTGACCATCGGTTCGTAAAATTCCATGACACTGAAAGAACATAAGGCTATTTCAAACAAGTGTGAAGTAATTACTGTGCGAATGTCCATCTGCCGAGAGAATCTGTGTTAATCGCATAGGAGTAATAATCCTTCTTACTCTTCCAGATTTGTTTACGTCTCGCCAATGGATACTCTTCATCAATGCCCAGTTCATTATCCAATTGTATCCAAGCACGTCTAATGAGAGCCAGATTCTGATGGCTCGTTAGACGTTGATCCCAGATAACTGGAAACTTACATTTTGAAAAGTTATAGAAAACAATATAAGTACCAGGTCTTTTTCGAACAGCTGAAATGATCTGGACGACTTTAGCAGGATCAGCATGATCATTTTTAGTTGTCTGTCGAATTCTTGCATATTTGAAATATTCTTCTGAATATGTTTGAACTGTTAGGTGGCTGAAAAGTATAGATAAACTTAGGAAGAAACAGCTGCAAGTACTACCTGCCTTCATCCTGAATCATGTCAGCTGTGATAGTGGGAATATACATGGAATTGCTGGTTGGTCGATAGAATACGTTATCAGGGATGAAGCCATCTACCGTTTTCTCATCGAGCTCCTCGCGTTTTGGCTTAATTTCAGAACCGGAAAAATAGAAAAATTTAGTAGTTTTCTTACCGAGATTTGTTCAATCTTTCTAGTCTTTTTCTGTTTATTATTTGTGCTCGATCCTTGGAAACGACGAATGTTCTTGATTGGTCTGTAGCGAGTCTGAAAATTCCAATTGTTTTGTCAACATGACTAAAACGGCATTCTCTTAATATTTGTCATCACTCACTACAAAGGCACTACAAAAGCAGCTAATTCTCTAGTCAAAAACACCTAAAGTTTTCCTTTCGATTAATTCAGACTCTCTACCGTCTCCATTCTCTTTACTCTCTTCTCTCACAGCCGGTCTCCCATTCTGTTCAGAGAACGTTGGCGAATGCTGTGCAGACAGCATTTATTTGCGCGCGGCGCATTTTTTATCAATACCTTTTTCCATTTTCGACCAACCAATTGCTTGATAGAACTGACCACCAAGCCATCTTCTATTGTTTCTTGATCGCTTTTGCATTTTCCTAGCAGACTGTTTCGAGATTGTTGTGTAGAGTGCTCTGAAAATTGAAATTTTGTGTATATTTAGTCATCTGATATACCTTCTGATTCCAGGGCTGTGCTCGTCTCTGTGGTTACCATTTTTAATTATTTCCTTTCTAGACCGTTTTCGACATACTTCAAAAATTTCATTTTCGCGGAAAAAGGGGCGGAGTTTTGTTTTTGCAACCCGTGCACGGAGTTTCTGCGGGGAGCGGGCGCGAAGTTACTTTTCAAAAGGTTTTTTTTTCCAAAACGAAACTTTTTATTTGTCTTCTGAATGCTCCGATTTCAGCGGTTCTGGAGCAATTCCAGGTATTAAAGTTTTAGTTTTTCAGTTTATTCAGTCTTCCTAGAGTCAAATTCCCATGAACCTCTCGAGTTTCGCAAAATGGGCGGTCATGTGTCATGTTCTTTGCATTCCATTGTAGTCGCTATCTTTGAAATTTGTCAGCATTTTTGCGTCAGAAAACTTGACAACTGAGTATTGACCTGGAAACTAGAATTATAAATTTATATGCTTTGTCTCTCGGTTGATTTTCATGTCGACATTTCCTAGCAGTAAAAAAATCAAATTCCTGAGCGAATTTCCCTCATAAGGAGGTTAATTCAAGAAAGTTTTGTACACCTTCCTGATCTCCGCCCCGCTTCTCACTTGATAGTCTCTGTTATTCTGTTACTTTTCATAACTTCTCATTGCTTATTTCATATTTCAGGTCAATCATGTCCGGTGTCAAAGAGTTTGATTATTTGGTAATTGGAGGTGGTTCCGGAGGAATAGCTTCAGCTCGCCGTGCTAGGGAGTTTGGAGTATCAGTCGGGCTTATCGAATCTGGCCGTCTCGGAGGAACATGTGTGAATGTAGGATGTGTTCCAAAAAAAGTTATGTACAATTGCTCACTACACGCTGAGTTTATTCGTGATCATGCAGACTACGGATTTGATGTGACAGTGAACAAATTTGACTGGAAGTAAGTTTTAAAGCCTAAAGAAGCGAACATTCTGAATATCTTTCTCCTTCAGAGTTATCAAGAAGTCCCGCGACGAATATATCAAGAGACTCAATGGACTCTACGAAGGTGGTCTCAACGGCTCATCCGTTGAACTCATTCGCGGCCGTGCCTCATTTGCCGAAGATGGAACTGTTGAGGTCAATGGCGCTAAGTATAGAGGAAAACATACTCTGATTGCTGTTGGTGGCAAGCCAACTATTCCGAATATCAAAGGAGCTGAGTACGGTATCGATTCCGATGGATTTTTCGATTTGGAAGATCTTCCAAGGTTTGAAAAAAAACTGAAAAATTAAGCATTAGAATTGTGTTTTTTTAGTCGCACGGTCGTTGTCGGAGCTGGATACATTGCAGTCGAAATCGCTGGAGTTCTTGCTAACCTCGGTTCTGATACTCATCTTCTCATCAGATATGACAAGGTTCTCAGAACATTCGACAAGATGCTGAGCAACGAGCTTACTGCTGATATGGACGAGGAAACTAACCCACTTCATTTGCACAAAAATACCCAAGTTACCGAAGTTATCAAAGGAGAAGACGGTCTCTTGACAGTCAAAACAACAACAGGAGTGATCGAGAAAGTTCAAACTCTTATCTGGGCGATTGGAAGATACCCACTTACTAAGGAACTGAACTTGGAACGTGTCGGTGTGAAGACGGATGCTGGTGGTCACATCATCGTCGATGAATATCAGAACACATCGGCTCCTGGCATTTTGTCTGTTGGAGATGACACTGGAAAGTTCTTGCTTACCCCAGTCGCTATTGCTGCCGGACGTCGTCTTTCTCATCGTTTATTCAACGGCGAAACAGAGAACAAGTTAGCTTACGAAAACATTGCCACAGTGGTGTTCAGTCACCCACTAATTGGAACCGTTGGACTCACCGAAGATGAAGCTGTCCGCGATTACGGAAAAGACAATGTTACTCTCTACAAATCTCGGTTCAACCCAATGATGTTCTCGGTCACCAAACACAAGGAAAAGTCTGCCATGAAACTCGTATGCGTTGGAAAAGAAGAAAGAGTTGTTGGAGTGCACATTTTCGGTGTTGGATCTGATGAAATGCTCCAAGGTTTTGCGGTCGCCGTCACGATGGGAGCCACCAAGAAGCAGTTCGATCAAACTGTTGCCATCCACCCAACATCCGCTGAGGAGCTCGTTACAATGCGTGGAGGTGTCAAGCCAGAATAGATTGACTAATTTATTTATGTTTGAGCACTCGATTTCGTTTTATTCTTGAAACATCTTTTTAACTATTTTGTAGATAAACGTATTTTCTTTTATTAGACTTTATTAAATGCCGCCATAACCAAAATATTATACAGATATATTGTCGGAATAAAAAAAAGTGACACTCGGTGTTTGCGTACTTTGATCCCCGCCTCCCCCCACCGACGCTCCGCCCATCGCTTTGCAAGTACGGCGTGGTGTGTCCCGATGGGTTGATTTTTGGCCAATAAGAGGGAAAATATTAAGAGGATTATTCACGGATCATTCCAGAAGCTCATATTCATCGTCTACTGCCATATCGGACTTTCTAGGTTCTCTCCGCCGCCGTCTCACGGTCCTCTGAAACAGAGTTAAGGAAAAATTTATATTTTAGTGATACCTTCGGGGCTTCCAGATCGAATTCGGCATCACTAGACTCCGATCCGTTGACTGCAGAGAATTTGAGACCTCGCTCGAACTCGAACTCTTCTTCTATAAAATCGTATTTTGCATTTATGGCATAAAAATTTTTGAAGCAAACCTGGAATCGGCGAAGAAGACAATTGTGATTGCATCTCGTCATCTTCATTGTCCACCATATTCTCATCTAGGTCAGTGTCATCGTTTACTTCTGGCAAGAATCCATCAAACTCGACGTCACTGTCTTCTGAAGCCTCACTTCAAATTTCTTATTTCACTTTGAATTTCTCACCGCAGAATGGATTCTTTTCTGGGATATGATCAATTACTGTCTCACAAACTGGACCAAGGATGTAAATAAGAGCACTAGTCTCGATGATTTTGTATCTTCCGTAGAGATAGTTCACAACAGGCTGAAAAAGGATGTTTCAGATTCCAAATGATTGATGCTAACCTCCAAAAGTAGATGATAAACAAATATCGAGCACTGTTTTCCTACTTCCACCATCAGGACACAGATTGGCCAAATAATTGAATCTCTAACGGCAATTGCGATACTATGAAGAGTGTCACGAAGCCAGCAACGTAGTCGTTCGAATTGGCAAAATAGAAAACCTTTGACTGGAACCCACAAATGCTTGTGAGCCAGAGCACCGAGCACTTTCAGTTGTTTGACTGTGAATCGCCAAAGTGGTGGGAACCAATGAGCACAGAAGATGTAAACGAACACGAAGCACAATTGATCAAACAAATAACGAAGTGGAACACCGACCTGAAAACAGGCATTTTTATCAAATGAACTGGGGAAGATAGTCTTGCGGTATACAGTATACGGTATACTGTACAAATTTTTAAGAAAAAAGAAATGATACGTCATGGGAATGAAAAAAGTGTTGCTTTGTAATGAGTGAGCAATCACTATTTTCTTTGTTTGTCTGAAAATTTCGAAACATTTCACTATTTCATTAACTCACATTAATTTTCAGCCACTCCTTTAACGATGGCCACCATTCTGCACAGAACCAATATCGAAGAAATTTCCGAATACGTTCAGCAACTCTTTCCGTTCTTTCAATAACTGTGACATGGAACCTGAAGAACCGTTTTAGCTCTATCGATAGATCAAATGAAAACCATACCAGTTCTTGATTCCAGTGACTAGTTCTCCACAAGCTTCTCGGAAATTGAAGACGAAATGTTTTATATGTGCAATTAATGCTGAAATTCTTCAGTAACAGAATCTCAAGGTTCAGATGCTTACGTGGAACCCATCGGAAAAGAACAATGTATTTGGTATATTCGTACACTGTCACAATTGGAGTGATGATGAGGTACTGAACAAACATTTAGAGTGAAATGGCAGTTGTTATAACATGTTAAATCTCACTTGTATCCAGTTTCCAAACCAGCTGGCTGTTTTTTGAACTGCTGATCCAATTTTCGCATTCACTTCATTGTGCTCCCAAACTGGATTTATTAGCAGGCAAGCCACTGAAAACTAGTCTGAGTTAAAAAAAAAATTAACTACTGGGTCTCACAAGTAGCATAAGCAGAATAACATGCTAATCGAACTTCTTCCGCTCGTAGAAGGTGGATACTGTATACTGAGCCACCCACGGATAGTGTCTGAAATAGATCTTTTGATTCTGTAATAGGAATATAGCTCACCCGAAAAATAGACTGGAACGGCCACATGAGAAGATGTGTGATAATGGAACGATCATTGGACGATGAAAGGAGAATGTCCCATGCAAAAATACCAGCGGATGCTGTTGCTAACAGAGCTTCTTGAATTCTAGGATCACAATATATTACACCAATCCTGAAATAATTGCCTCGTAAAATCTGGGACTTTTAAAACTAAAATCTCACCAAAAAGCAGAGTTGACAGCCATCAGATAGAGCCCAGTAAGTGGATTTCTCCATTCAATAGTTTCTCGGTAGACTCGATGTAACCGTCGTCCCGTTTCTCGTATCCTCTCCATCATTTTTTTAAAAATTGGGTCAAATTGAAATTCGAATTTCGAAAGAAATCAATAACTGATTTACATCTGTTATTTTCTTGGTCACCTAAACCAAGAACAACTGTTTCTTTTCTTTTTTTTTTCTTGAAAACTCCTCTTTGAAAAGAGAATGGAGAGAGATAAAAGAGAGAAGCGATAGAAACGCTATCGTGAAATAAGAAAAAACAGATTAGGTTGGGAAGTTTTATGAGATCAAAACTTGAAAAAAAAGAGTAGTTGGTAAGATCTCCGATAAATAATTTAACAAAATACTGAAAGTTCATTCCCAGCGACTCCTCTTGGACGAAGAAGAAGAAGGCGCAGACGAAGAAGAAGAAGAAGAAGACTGATTTTGTTGATGTTGTTGTGCAATTCGAGCATTCAATTCGTCAACTTTTTTCTTCCATTCTGGTCGTGGATCTGAAGCCACCTGGGTCGGAAGATTGGATGACTCATTTGTTGGACGTTGGAATGTTGATTGGAACGATTTCTGAAAACGAAAAATACCATATATGGTTATCTTGCAAGGAAAAAGACAAACCTGGAAGGCACTTTTCAGCATCTGCGCTCTGTTTGCTCCTGAAGCTGGTACACCCCCTGATGATGTAGCTAATCTGCAATTCAATGAAAAGATGCTTAAAATAATAATAATTTGAAATCACCTCTGAGCACTCTGGACCATTCCGTCTACTGTTTGATTTGTAGATCCACCGTAACCAGAACCACCTTTACTGTTCCTTTGGTCCTTCAGTGGATCATACTGTTGTCCGCCTTGTGCGCCAGGCCCTCCTGTCCGTACTTTGGGCGTATATCCTAGACCTGTTCTACCTCGAGCTTGTGTACCAGTACTAGGACCCCCATGCCCAGCTCTTTGTGATCGGAACCATGCGCATTTCATTGCAAGATCCATTAGTGGTTTTGGAACTTCTTGCGATACACTCTCAAGATTCTTGACCAAGTGTCCTACCGTTTCGATATCTTTCTCAGTGACTAGGGTGTAGGCGGTTCCTCTGTGTCCAGCACGTCCAGTTCTTCCAATTCGATGAACATGGGTATCGATATCACGAGCCATATCAAAGTTCACGACAGTTCGAATTTCAGAAATATCGAGACCACGAGCAGCAACATCTGTAGCTACGAGGATCTGTGACTTTTTGCGGAACTTCAACAAGTTTTCGTTTCTTTCTGCTTGAAGCATATCTCCATGAAGCAGCACGATATCAAAATCTTTGAGCTTCAGTTTCTTTGCAAGATCTTCAGAATCCAATTTTTTCGTGACGAAAATAAGAACTTTTCCAACTGTAAAACACATTTTGAAAAGATATTGAGTTAGTTTTAAACTAACGGGAAGCAAATTCGACAAGATTTCTGATGAGCCAATGGAATTTAACGTCTTGGTTCTGCATCACATATACCTTTTGTTCGATATCTGCATTCGCTTCTCCAACTTCTCCTTGCACAATTCTAACCGGATCCACAAGAGCATCACGAGCGAGTCTCTCGACTTTTTGCTTGAATGTTGCACTGAACATAAGACATTGGCGATCTGGACGAACATGATCCGAAATAGATTTCACTTGAGCTTCTGAAAGAAACCTAAATATGATTAGTTTTTTAAAATTCTAAAACATACCAAAACCCATATCGAACATACGATCGGCTTCGTCAAATACTAGGAATGTCGTACGTAGAAAATTGGTAGCTTCCATTTTAACCAAGTCAATAATACGGCCCTGAAAAATCAAATCTGAAATAAACTATGAGATAGAGTCACTTACAGGAGTGCAAACAACCATTTCAGCCCCTTCATTCTGCAATTCGTTGGACTGCTCCCATTTGCTGCCACCTCCATAGGCACAAATGACATTGATGTTATAGACTTTGCAAAATCGTTTTGCTTCTTGGTACACCTGAATCGCCAACTCTCTGGTGGGAACCACAATAACTGCAACAGGTCCTTCTCCTTCTTTCAGATCTGGTTGATCCATTGTATGAACAATTGCAGGCCAGAGGTACGCAGCAGTTTTTCCAGATCCAGTTTTGGCAATTCCTAGAACGTCTCTGCCGGATAAAGCGGACGGGATGGCCATAGCTTGGATTGGAGTTGGTTGTTCGTACTCGCTTTTACGGATGGCCTCCATTAACAGCTTATCAAAAGAAAAATGAGCAAACGAGCACACAGGACGGGGTGGCTTGAGACCACCTACGCGGAGATTCATTGTGTTCTGAAGACGAATGATATCCAAATATTGAAGACGTCTGAAACATAACCTTAAAATTTTTTAAACGTTCGGAATCTTACTTGATATCATCATGCTCCTCGTAAAAATTTTTATTGAATTTCGGATATTGAATCTGCGTGTGATCAATGTCTGGTAACGGGTCAATAACTTTTTTCCATGTCCAAATGATATTTCCATCCTCATCATATTCATATTGTTCTTCGTCATTTTCATGTTTTTCTTTGTATTCTTCCATGAATCTAAATATATTTTTTCCAATATTTTGTTAGGTGAAAAGTGACACTCACTTGAAAAGAGATTCTTGCATATCTTCTTCATCGATATCAGCTCTTCCGAGTCCTTTCTTACTTGGATCCTCTGTGTCTTTTCCTTCTTTTCTATCCTTCTCCTTTTGTTCAGAAACTTTTTTGTCCTTCGTGGCTTGTTTCTCGATTCCAGCCATGAAAGCGTCCAGCTCGTCTTCTTCTTCGTCATCATCAGGTATTGAAGATGAAGATTTCGAAGGTTTTTCGTCATCCGATCCGCCTTCCAAATATCTAAACTAGGAAATCATCTATTGTTGAAATAGAACAAAACTTTGAAAAGTAAAACATACTCATCATCGTAGATCCGTTTTCGTCTGCTTGTTTCTCAGATGTTGATCCATATGCCATAAGATTTGCGTACTAAATTAATAATTGCCGAATTGATACTCAATTTGCAGATGGAGATTAAAATAGAAACCTCTTGTTCTTTTTTCATTTCTTGCTCTTTACGACTGCTCATGAAAACATTACGATTTGGTGGTGGGACTGGAGCATTTCCGACGGTTAAAGCAGCAGGAGGGGGTACATTGTTCATACTTTGTCCATCTGAATTCCAAAACTATTTAGAAGTTTGAATAATGTATTCATTACCACTTAAACTAGAAGTTCCAGACGACTTGGCGCTAACAAATCGATTATGATAATTCCCGGTGTATTTCCCTCGCCACATTCTATTCAGCTGCAAATTTTCATTATAATTGCTTGAATTTTTCTGAAAGATTTCAATTTTAATTCATTTTCAGTATTTATGAAGAAGGGATCAAAGTCACAGGGAAGGGGCGTGGTGAAGAACTGCAGTCTGCGGCGCGTCGTTTCGCAAAGTCGCCGCACGCAGTTTGGGAAACTCTGGCTTTTATCAAATAAGAACTCTCACTGCAATGGACTGGAAGGAAACGGAAAAATTGCTCGTTCAGCATACATAAAACCGAAAAAGTCGGAAATTATGGGAAAATATTTCTTTTTTACAGTTGTTATAAATGTATATATTTAAATACACATAACGAACCAATTTCAGAAAACCTGCTGGGTTACTGTAGCCCATCCTCTGGTAATCGGTTTCCAACCAGATTCGGGAAAATTCCGGAGCAGAAATGGCTAGATCTGGTTAGAAAATTGTCCGAACCAGGTTGGGAAATTAGCTTTTTCTGGTCAGAAAATCACCAGATGTGGTCGGAAAATAAAAAGTTTCCGAATCTGATTGGAATTTTACTCGCATCTGGTTGGCAAATGCGCGTTACCGGATCTGGTTGGAAAATTCCCCGAAACTGGTTAGAAACTGATTACCAGAGTCAAAGTTCTAAATTGAAAGTATCAGCTGAAAAGTGTTTGCTTTTAAGCTATCAACATTAAAAAAAACATGTTGTATTTGCACAACATTTTTATTTTTCTATGTTCTACTAGTTTTATTGCTGCATGTTATAGCACTGGTAATCTTTTTTGTTTTCTTTTGTTTTCAGATTCTAATTTTTTTTCTACAAATTCATAGTTTGCTGCTTCTCTTTTTGTTCTTTGTTTGAAAGTTTTGACTTTCCAACCACATGATATGCACGCTGTTCCCTCCACTTTTCCATGCTTCTCCATTGGAATTCGCACATCAAAAATGAAGTTTCTTCACCTAGAATGGTTTGCGAACCACGTGTTTCAGCCAAATTTTTCTTATCATGTTACAAATGTTATCTGTTGCGCAATAGTGTGTATCGTATGAGAGTGTCCAGACAAAGACTACGAACAGTTTCGGACAGTTGGAATTTGGCGGCGTGATAGGGATTATGATTGGCGCATGGAGAATTATAATGAAGTGTGGTCTTGAAATGACAGGGAAAACAAATTTCATACTTTGTACCTTGAGGATTAGAAGCTTTTTGAGCCCAATGGTATTTTAGGAAGAAGTTGTTTGGGATGGGAAAAGGAGGGAATAAAACCTTCGAATTATCTTGAAACTCATGCAATTTTGATAAGTATAACGGTGTGAAAATATCAAAATTAGTGGAGATCAATACCGTAAACACTCTATTAGAAGGACCCATTGCATCTTTGACCCGACATAATTCATATCCAGTATTATCTTATACAGTAAGCGAGATAAATTGGCTCAAAGTTAGAAGTTAAGGGTACCGTTCTATTATTGTGTTTACGGTACTTCGACTTTACAAAATTGATGGAGTAATTTATATCACTAACAATCAGAGATATTTGGTTTCATGATAAATTTTTACTATTTTTCATAAAAATAGAACATACACAAGAATGTTAGAGCCATTTTTTAAAGACATTCCAAAAAAAACATATTTCCGAAACTTCCGATATTATTTCCGTTTTAAAAGCATTCACATGGAGTTATTAAGTCATTAATCACAGTTTTCTCACTGGGAATTGTTCGTCATTTTGATATGTAATCACACCGAATTAAATTAGATGATCGGCCAGTTCAACATGTGCCAACCGATAACATTTTGATCGTCCACCCTCCTCTTTTTGATGACTTAGAAGAATGGAATGAACAACTATTTGAACGTGAGAGTTTGTGACGACTGTAGAAGAGTAATGTGACATTTAAGAAAAAAGAACAACTGAAAAATTTTAATATGAATCCTGGTAGTAGTTTTAGAAGAATATTGTGAATACTCTTATAGAACGACCACGAAACTGTCTACTTTGAGCATAGCATATATATATATATATATATTTCTCGTTTCCTGTAAGAGTTATCAAAAAGTAGTCAACTGACAAAATATAATTCATGCTATGAAAAATTTTCTTAGTTGACAACTTTTTGATATCTTTCACAGGAACCGAGACAGATGGGTTCAAAGTTAAGAGTTGGGGGGTGTCGTTCTATTAGAGTGTTCACGGCATCTCGAAAATTTTGTATTCTACTCCTGGTGGTAGTATTAGATGAGAAGAATCAGTTTCGGTCAAACATGAAAAGCAAACATTGGAAGAAGATCTCCGAATTTTTTCCATTTTTTCCTGAAATTAACAGAGAATATCGAACATAACTATTTTCTATAGATTCCGAATTTCTGTACAAGCTCAGTCAGAAACAAAATGAAGCCTGATTACGGTCACAATTGTTTCTTTTTCATGTGATATCTCTGGATGACTTATAAAAACATTTCTGAAAGATATATTTATTTATTTATTTAAAAAAAAAAAAACAAATGGAGGAATCAACCCAAAAATGAGTATCCACTTGAACAGGAATGTATCGAATATCAACGTGAATACTCAATTCCTTTTTTTTTTTGAAATTATATAGTCAATGAGCTCCTTTCAAACACATTCTCACACAAACAATATTGCCGCCTTTCCTTCCACAATGTGACAAAGATAAGACCGCAGATTTTTAATGTAACAAACTGACTTCTTACTCTTTTTTACATGTTCTTGCTTGTCACTCACATTCCATTACTCTGATTTTATTTTTTTCAATTTTTTTGTCATTCTTCCTGTTGGAACAGGAGTAATAAGAATGTCAGAACTTATAAGGCAAATTAGGGTATTATCGGTATTATCTACCACTCTATAAAACTGAATGTTGAAGGAAAGAAAGTATCTGGCATTTTTTAAAAGGAGTGCCAGACTTCTTACTTTTGACGCTGGTAATCCTGTGATCACTCGGCATAAATGGACTAGCCAGATCTAGTTTTTAGTGTTTTTTGTTTCGAAAAAAAAACTGTTTTGACAGTCTGTAAATCCCTTTTGCCTAACAAGTTGTGTTCATTTTTTTGGTTTGCCATGAAACCTGTATTAGAAGGGCCTCTCTAATAGAATGGTCCTCATCAAAAAAATTTTGTTTGAAATAGAAATTTTCCGTGTTTTTAGTCGACAATATTCCGGAAATTCCAGAACTTTGTTGGAACTTAGTTGCTCAAAAAATCGATCAGTTTTGGTTTTCAAATTTATAGGTTTTTATGAAATTTGAACGAGATCCACCAAGTTTTTCAATGAAAGTTTCTGGAAAAAGTGGCCGGAAAAATGAAAGGGCCCCTCTAATTGAAGGACCCATGTGCCCTCCAGAGGTACCTTGTAAAAATAGAAGACCTGTTTTTCTATTACAGTTTTTTACGGTTTCGATTTTTGAAGCAGTACAATGATGGACTATTGGAACTCATATGTTTAGATAAATTCGAAATTTTCTGCTTACTGAAACTTCCAAAGCAGTAAAAGACCGTTATTCTTGTCTTTGAACACTGAGTTTTGTAAATATTTCAGGAAAGCAGGTCAAATAGACTTTTGCTGGTAAATGCATATTAAAAAAACTTGAACTTGAATACTGAAATTAAATTTTATTTGTTTTTACTTTGTTCATTGCACATTTGAAAATACATAAAATATTTTACAGTTTCCTTGAAAATCCTCAGCCAGATTTTTTTCCAACATTTTCCCATTTGCAGAGACGACGTGCTTCAAGCAAAGTGCTCGATTCGTCTGATTTCCGGAGGTGGAGAAGTAGGACATAACTGATAATAAATTTCGAAGAAAAACTTTTTTCTCCAAGATAACAGCAAAAAAGAGAAAGTATTTTATTCGTAAATAAGGCATAACTTTGTCGGAGAAAACGGAATGGTTCAAGTGGCACCGGTGAGTTTTAAAAATTTTATTTGAAAACTTCTTGGAAGGACTCTGGAACCAAATACCAACAAACCTGTAATAGAAGGGGTTTAACACTGTCAAGTTTCTGCTAATTTTTCTCTGCTTCTATGCAAGATATCAAAAATATGTCAACTGTAAAAACACTTCTGGTATAATGATAAACAATTTATTAGCTTACAACTTTTTAAAAATCATTCACAGGAACTGAGAAAAATTGGGTCAAAGTTAAAAGGTATGGGGCTCTTCTATTACAGGTTTTACAGTATCATGTTCCTCGAGTTTGTTTTTGTCTTTAAGCTAAATTGTTTTCAGAACTCTTGTAAAAATCCATTAATATTCTAAAACTTTCTCTCGATATAGAGATATCTTATTTTATTAAAAGTTGGGAATCATCAAAATACAAATTCCAATTTTCGCATAGCTTTTTCTTCCTCCATCTTCTTGCATCATCACTAGTCACAATTTTTAAAAGACATAGAAAAAGAGATAATAGTTAGACTAGTGATAATAAAGTTCGAAAATTATCGCTGAAATGTTGAACATGACAAAAAAATAGAACTTTGGTCGGTATAACACAGTTCTGCTGAAAAGGCCAATTGCCCAATATTTTGATTGGAGCCTGCTTTTATAAATACATTTTTGCCACAATAGAACGTTGCATTGTAAATTCTCGATGATCATGGCAGTAAATATATCAAAGAACTGGAAGAGAAAGAAGAACCTTGTCAAATCAAGTTAGAAGAATAAGAATGAACAGTATACTTTGACTTAATTGGAAATTGATATCTTTGTTGATCAATTGATAAAGAAATCATCTTTTGATGAAGGACAGCTGACCGGATTTTTAAAGATTACATGAGGCGAGAATATATTCCTTTACAGGTTGGTGTAGGAGGAGGAAGTGGTCAGAGTCGACCTGCATCAGATCCAAGGATAGGATGGTTTGTCTACATGCTAGCATTTTCAGCAGTCATCGGTAAGTAAGAAGGGATCCTCAACAAAGATATCCAAATGTTGGGATTACTGTAGAATGTAAAAATGAAAACGGACCACTATCTCAACTTCATCCAGAAACACTAGAAGTCTATACTCTGGCCTCGTCGTCTAAAATATTTCCTAAAAACAAGACACACGTGATTCTGAAGACGTCATATCATCTAGTCTGGTATCCGCCCTTCTCTCTTTCTCACATATCACTTTCTCATTATCCGTTGAAAATAATTAAATTAGTCGAAAGTGAAGTTGGACTAACAATCACATATTCGAACTATTCCTCCTCACCCATTTTTCAATTCTCTCTCACATTTTTTGTGAATTCGGAACGAGACCAATATCAACAACACCCCCAAAGAATCACTCTCCGTTTTCATTCTTCCCCTCTTTTTTTCTATTTACTGTCGCATTTATTTTTCGGTACTACCTAGATCAGTCCTGACTGGGAATGCCGGTTGAAAAACCAAAAGAATTACCCCAAATGGGTTGGTATGTATTCAATTTAGTCATGTGTGCAATTATAGGTGAGTTTGAATAATCAGGAAATTCTTACTGTAGTTTCAACAATCTTACGATTAGAAACCCATCGTAAATTATAATTGCATTTAACTTTGAGTTCATATATCTCATTTTCTTTCGAAGATATCAAAAAGTGGTCAATGTCAACATAATGTCAAATTATTTTGTTAATTGAGCACTTTTTGATATCTCTTACTGAAACCGAGATAAATGGCTTGATAAAAGTTAAATGATAGGGGTAGTTTTCAGTTAGAAAAACATCTCCACTAACAAAAAAAGTGTCTTACTTCCTCTATCTTTACATTACAAATTTGGAATCTTTTCTCTTCAAAATGTGTCTATATTCTCCACTTCGACATAATTTCAAAATATCGAAACGCAAAAAAAAACTAGTTCTGGTTGAACCCACTATTCCGACACACAAACTACATTGTATGTCAATTTGAATTTCAAATTCAAACAAAAAAATCGCACTGCAAAAATTTCGAATCTTGTCCCACATAAAGCTTATTTTCAGGAGGATTCCTATTCGGATATGACACAGGAATTGTATCTGCTGCGATGCTCTATGTCCCAGATGCTGCTGGAATCAAACCTCTGGATTCTGTTTGGCAAGAAATTATAGTTAGTGTGACCCCTGGAGTAGCAGCAATCGGATCTTTATGTTCGGGACCAGGCTCTGATTTCCTGGGAAGAAAGAAGATTATCATTGGAGCAAGTGTTACATTCGCAGTTGGAGCTGTCATTTGTGCAGCTGCATGGACAAAGATTGTACTTTTAATTGGAAGAATTTTATTGGGTGCTGCAATCGGTAAGATATAATTTTCATGGACTAGATCTATTCATTTTCTATCAGGATTCGCTTCGATGATTGTTCCAATTTATGTATCAGAAGCATCCCCATCTCATATTCGTGGAAAGCTTGTCACAGGTTTTCAATTGATGATTACTGTAGGATTGGTAATAGCAAACATTGTTGGAGGAGCTTTCAGTTATGTCGATCCATTTGGATGGAGGTATCTTTTTTAAACACTTCTAATCCTTCTAAAAATCTTCCTGTTTCAGATTAATGTTTGCCTTTGCTGCGGTCCCTGCTATTATTCAATTCGTATGCTTCCTTTTCCTTCCAGAGTCTCCTCGTTGGCTTTATGAGCATGGAAGAACTGTTGAGGCAAGAGAAGTGCTGACAAGAATCTATAATGGGCATACGGAATGGGTTGATTATGAAATCAATGAAATCAGTTTCTCGTATGAAGAAGAGTTGAGAGCAAAGGCAGAACATGCTGGAAATGGACCAACTATCATTCGTATCTTGAAAACTCCGCATGTCAGAAAAGCTTTAATTATTGGATCTCTCCTTCAAATGTTCCAGCAGCTGTCTGGAATTAATACGGTTATGTGGGTGTCTAAAATAGCAAGAACTTATTGAATACATGCGGTTTTAGGTACTACACGGGTAACATTATCAGAAGTGCAGGAGTCAAAAATAAACACACAACCATTTGGATTTCTGTGGGAACTTCTGGTGCGTATTTTCCCGTTGGCCATATTTTACAGTAGTTTTTCAGCAATCAATTTCATTGGAACCTTCATTCCGATCGCCCTGGTAGAACGTCTTGGTCGCAGAGTTCTTCTTCTTGTTTCTATGATTGGTGTCATTCTGTTTTTGATTGCGATGGGTGTCTCCTTCCTTTTGATTAACAATGTGAGGAAGATTTCAACTGCCAAAATATTTACAATCATATCAAAAACATTTTATCATTTAACCACATTTTGATATCCTTTACATTAATCCTATTTAGCCCAAATTTGACGATGTAGGTTAATTTCTATTAGAGGAAATACGGTATTCCCTTTTTAGGTGCGTTCCAGTTGCAAAAATTATCTCCCAGTTCTGTAACATAGAGGAAGATGTCAAAATGTAGGGACTTGTGAAAAAGTCCAAAATTGCTTGACCGCAACTAAAGAATTAAAATTAGTGTCTTGACCCCATTGTAAGGTTAATCAAAATTTTGGTTTTATTCTGAAAGCCCAAACTACCGTCGTTCCATTGTATCATTAAAAACCGAATTAACTAAAATTAATTACAGGATTCCTCACTAACATATCCACAAAACGAATACGCTGCAACACCAAACTTCAACCCATCAGTCAAAGATGCAATCAAATGCATGAAATACAGTAACTGTGATTTCTGTGTGACTGATGAAAAGTGTGGTTTCTGTGAGAACAAAGCATCCAAGACTGGTAATTTTTCTTGTTGAATTTGGCATGTAAACCACATTTTTCCAGGTTACTGTCTTCCATTTCCTGATTCTGATTCGGCGGATTTCTCTGCCACCGGAATATGTCAATTCAGTAATTTGACCGGCAACGGAAAAACGTACGAATGGGAAGACTCGTACTGTCACACAAAATTCACTGTTTTGCCAATCATTATCATGGTGTTCTATTTGCTGTCTTTTTCAGCAGGTAGGTGAAAAATTTAGGCTTCGATATAAAAGTAACAGCGATTCATCAAAAATTAACTTCCAATAACAACAGTGGACTTTAGGGTCCTCTTCTAATTTTTGGATGTTTGTGTTACTGGAGAACCGTCCAATTCGGAGGTGGAATTACCGTAAAAACTTGTAACAAATGGTCTCCATAATGTTTGAACTATTTTTTTGGCCCCTTTGCAAGATATCAAAATTGTGTCAACCAACAAAATGTTTGTGATATCATGATAAACAGTTTGTCAGTTGACCACTTTTTCATATCTTGGACAGGAACCGAGATTAATTGGCTCAAAGGTATAAGATGGGGAATCCTTAAGTTTTACGGTAAGCTAAGTGTTTATATCATTAGAGTACTTGAATTTTGAAGCACTCTATTCTAAACTTCACTCACCTCCACCCGCAAATTTGATGCTTCCCTAAGCAATTTTCCGAGTCCCCATTCCAACTGTTTATTCCAGGTTACGCTCCTCTTCCATGGGTGCTCAATGCTGAATTCTATCCACTGTGGGCCAGAAGTACAGCAGTTTCCATATCAACTGCATTCAATTGGATATTCAATCTCATCGTCTCCCTCACATTTTTGTCTCTTTCCCAAGCTGCTACCAAATATGGTAAGCTTCAATACTCAATTGAACTTCATGAAAATTTTTACAGGAACATTCTTCATTTACTGTGGATGTACTATTGTCGCGTTGATTTTCGTATTCTTCTTCGTACCCGAAACTAAAGGATATTCTATTGATGAAGTGGAAATGTTGTTCATGACAAAGGAAGAACGGGAGAAGACACAGAAAGTTCTAGATGAGAGCAAAGAAGGAAAACATCGGAATTCTGTAGCACTTTCTTATGATACTAAATTTTAAATTTCAGCTTTAATCGTCATTTCCTTGTATAATAATTTGTAATTAATTTTGAATAAAATATTGCTATTTTTTAGAAGTTTTCTTTGAAGAACATTTCACAAAGAAACAAAGGATCTTCATTATGATCCGATTTTATAATTTTCCTCTATTTGCTTCTAAAGAAGAGTTTCTTTTCAATTTTGGCGAATTTCTCTGGAGAATTCAGAAAAGATAACTTTTAATATTATGGACTATTATTTATGGACCATAATATTAAAAACTTTGTACCCATAAGTTATGGATACATAGCGGTGGCCGTGTTCGAACGAAAACTACCGTACTTCTGTTTTCAGGATTTTTTTGCGATTTTCGCGCGATTGCAGCATTTTTTTTAGAATAAAAGTTTTTTTTAATTTTCTGACCAAATAACAGAAAAAAACCGACGAAAGGCAGTAAAAAATAAAGTGTTCGTTTCGGGCCCTGAAACAATAAAATCAATCAAAAATAACTATTTATCAATTATCTATACTAAAAACCAAAAACAAATCAAACAAAAGAATCAACAGTCTTTGAAAAAACGTTGTGAAGTAGAGTCGTCCATCAGCACCTTCTTTCGCTCGCGCACGAAATTTCCTCGATCGTCGACACGAGGCGAGTCAATGTTATGGCGGACGTGATAAGCAGAATATGGATCGTTTGGATAATGCTTCGGACGAAGCCAGTAGGGTGTCATCAGCTTATCCAGAATTTCACATTGTTCCTGTAAATGAATCAATATGATCAAATTTTATATCAGTTTGAGTTAGCTACCCTAGTTCAATTAAAAAATATATGGGAAAACTCACTTTTGTGCATGTCTCGTAATACAGACTTGTTTTCTGCCAAGTTTCATCTTTCATGTACCTCAATTTGTGACGTCCAGGGTGGGCATGGATCCACATACCATTGTTCAAACGTTTGAATCTGAAAGTTACGATTAATTATCTCTTGGGTTTATGCAGCAGATAATCAAGTATAAATTAAAATTTATAAAAATAAACACCTGTCCAGAACATCTTGTGCTGGTCGTTTTCGTCCAACTCGTTGATCAAATCGTATGTGGTATTCGTGAGCAGGAATGTTAGCGATTCCACGAACAGCAACTGATATTGGTGCGTGTCGACTTGCGCACAGAGACGAAAATGCTGCTTTCGTAAACATTTCTGACTGAAAAATATTATTTCGCCGAATTGAAACCGAAACGGTCTAGATAAAAAATGGAAAGAAAAAAAAAAGAAAAATGGGTGAATTATTTGCGGAGACTACGGTTGGCATCGGTGTTTGCACATTTCTCTCAGTTTCTCAGTTTTCAGTACTCTCTTTGATCATGTTGTTTTCTTCACAAAGAAAAAGTAAATAAAATAAGAAAGCAACAAACTTCAACATGTTCCAAGTTTTAGCAGCCATATTTAAACGTATCGATTTCTTATCAATTTTGAAAGTAACCTATAAAACTTTCACGATGAAAAGATGCAACTGTTGTAAAACATAAAAGATTCGTACTTTGCATCACCGAACCAATTTTCATCGCGAATATTATAACCAAAGAATAAGGAAGCCTTCAAGATTGTATGTTTCAGATGTCGTCTGAAGGCGGTACTGCCGTCATCCAACGATACTTCGGCGGAGGAGATAGTGAACAACGAACAGCTCTTCAGTTTGCTTTCTACAATGTTCTACTTTTTGTTCTGGTAAATAGTGGAAATCTCAATATACACATCCATCCGAAGTATTTTTCAGTTGGGAGTTGCATTATGCGGATTGTTCGCTCTTTACAACATGATGTACATGTTCCTCTCGCCCATGCTCTGGGCTGTCCTAGTTGGTACTGTACTTTTCCCGTTTAAAAAGAAGGTTACCGATATTGTTCAAAGTAAGCGTGGACGAATGTTCTACTACTGAAAGATCTGCTTTTAGACTGGCTTCGTCATCTGCAGGACACCAATCAAACTTTGGCAAAAGCTGTAATAACACTTCCATTTACTGGATTCAAAAAAGTATCGGATACCATCTATAAAACTTTCGCCAGGTGTGACAAGCTAAAACTACAGTAACCTGAATTAATCCCATTGCAGTCCAAATGGAGCAATCATTGCTCTTGCTTATGCTGCACTGAAAGTTTTGTCATATGAAAGAACTTTCATGTATGTTATAAGTTGGATAGGACGATTGTATGGGTATTTGGATTCATTCATCGTGTTCTTCGCAAGACCTTGGGTTCTCCCGCTCATAGTCGTATACTTCTGCTGCTATGCCGCTTGGATTTATGTTCAAGATCCAAAACAAATAAACAAAAAGCTTGCTCGATCATTTTCACTGCCGATTTGGTTTGTATTCGATGAGATTCGATCGTTCTTTGAAAGAAATTTTTTGCAGGATATATGTCATATCGTATGCTTCTCTCTACTTTGGTCCCCTTCGTGCCTGTGTCTTCGGTGTTTCAGCCGCCGTATTAGGACTCTTATCTGCTGGAGTAATTGGATCTCAACGTTCTTCTGAAGCCGAAGAGAAGCCGAAAGAAGAAACTTCTTCTGTAAATCAAGACGAATCTTCTTCACTTCTGCCGCCTAATGTTGAAAAGATTTTAGAATCGGCTAAAGAGAAACGTACGTTTGACACACTCATTGAACAATCAAATTGACCGATTCATTTAGTTTCAGTGGATGCAACCGAAAAGTCTCTTCTAGAAAACTCTATGCTCTCCACGTCTACAGTGGACGAAGCAATCACTGGTGACTGGCTTATCAGATGTGTATTTGGACTATGTGCGCTTCTATGGGTAGTTCGGCATGATGGAGCTCTGATTCTTATTGCTATCCCATTTGTTCTGGCTGTTTTGTCAAGAGTTGCGGAACAATTAGGAATCACTGCCGCCGTCAATAACTTCCTCGACAATTCATGGCAAAAAATAGCTCCTTCTGTGATGAAGGTTGTTGAGATTACTGTAGCTGGACCACTGCGTCAATTCGTCAAAATGCTATTCTCTTCTGATAAGTACATTGTCGAAAGCTTGTACGACAAAATGGATGTCCTATCATCTGTGATTGTCATGGCACTCCTTGCCTTTTCTGCGATACTCGCAGTTTTCTTTGTTGGATTTCAGTTGCATGGAGAGACGGTTCATCTTGTCCGTCTCACCTCCAACGTTGTGAACTCACGCCCAGACTGGTTAGCTGCAGCCATGGATTATACCGAAGATCAATTGGAAGAGAACAACATTGATATTGATGACTACGTTCAACAGGTACGGTAGAATTAATATGGTTTTAAATTGAAATTTTCAATTCATTTCTCTCTATTCAGGCTTACGAACAAGGTCGTACATGGTTAGCTTCGAATGTCCGATCACTGGCTAATGCGAAAGATACAAAAAGGGCAGATATGCTGGAAGAACAAGTGAAGCAGGTTGTTGATAAACTTTATCATTTGTGGGAGGATAGAAACAATAACATGACTGTTGGTATGACCTATAAAATCCAATTTCCGCTTACTGATTTTTATATTTGTAGCAGTTAATCAGACGTCAAGAGGAGATGTTTGGCAACAACTGAAGGGAGTTACTGATTTGGCTGCACTGAAAGATGAACTGACATTGATCGTAAAAGAAAATCTTGACACACTCATGGGAGTTGCTCAATCGGTTGGGTCGATACTGGCTGTAAATGTATCCATATTCTCCTCACTATTAGTCTCATTTGCTGGAATAATTCTGAGCTTCGGAATGGAACTACTGAATACATTCATTGAGCTTGTAAGTTTTAAATAGTTAATAACTGAAATTAAACATTTTCGCTCAGATTGTCTTTCTAACAATGGTCTACTATCTTCTGTCTGCTTCCCGAACCCGATGGCTACCTCTACAGTGGGCTTCTGATCTATCGGCAGTCACAGCCAATGATGAAACCATGTCAGCACCAGCTCAGCATCACATTACTGCAGCAATCGAACACGCCATTTTGTAAGTTTCAGAAGCTATCCGTTCACATTTATTTTTTTTTCCAGCGGTGTGTTTATTCTATCTGCCAAGATGGCTGTTTTCTACGGGCTCTACACCTATTTTGTTCACAGCCTTTTTGATTTGAACATCGTTTTCGTTCCGTCCAGTATGTTATAAATACTCTGATCTCTAACTATTCAAACATCTTGAATTTTCAGTGGCAGCTACGTTGTTCGCCGCTATCCCAATCATGCCACCGTATATCGTTGCTATTTTTGGAATAGTCGAACTTTGGCTCGTACGAGGAGAAGGAGCTGCTGCTCTCGTGTTCACGTTGGCATCTTTTGCTCCTGTCATGTTCGCAGATGCGACGTTTTATAAGGAAGTGAAAGGATCTCATCCCTATGTTACTGGTTTAGCCATTATCGGTGGAATGTATTGGCTTGGATTACAGGTCTATTACGCTCGAAAATCTAAAAAGGCAACTTTGAATTTTCAGGGTGCAATCATAGGACCAATCATACTATGTCTTTGCCTTGTTCTCGTTAATGTCTACCTCCAACATGTGAAACCATCAGCTCTCTACACCCCCGCACCTACACCACGTAATATCAAATTATCTAGCACTTGATCAGTCTATCGTTGTTTCGAAATCGTAGTTACTGCCTTGAACTCCTGACACATGTACCTTTTCCCTGTATTTTCACAACTCCGGTTCTTGCCATTATGGTAAATATTTTTGTATACAGTAAAAATTCTTTCTGCTGTTAGTTGTTACTCCCTTTTTTGTTCCCAATGCAATAAAAAACTTTTTGGTCGGAGCCCTTCTTTATTATGCTTGTCTGAGAAAAAAAAGGTTGAGAGTATTTTTTGCAGTCTGAATACGGTAGCGATGTCGAAGCGGAGAGCCTAAATAGCACACAAACGGTGGAGACGCAGACACTTTTTCTCTGCGTCTCAACCTTTTTTTTCTCAGACAAGCATAATAATAATAAATTTGCATAATTCTTTATATAGTTCAACCTGGTTTCTGGTTTTGTGCCAGTTAGCTATTTTCGATGTCCACTTTTCTTTCTGGAAGCTGTGTTGTGAATCTGAACACTAGAAAAAACAGGAAAGTGGCAAAGAGAAGCGATTCCTCTTTGAAAACTGCAGCGAAACCGTAAAAAATTATTTCAAACGCCCGCGCTGCGCGTCAGACTACGGTGGTTTCTGGTGTTTGCGTATCGCTTCGAGACCTGCCTCAACCTGACCAGTGAATTTTTCCGCTGTCCTAAAATTTTTTGCACAATTTTCTCCTATTTTTTCGATTTTTCAGCAATTTTTCGAGGAAAAAACGTCAAATTTTGTTTTATTTTTCATTGAATCGATATGCAGTGTTGTCGTTCGCGCAAACTTTCGTCGTCTGTCAAAATTTTTCCAAAGGACACCTAAATACCTAAAACTTTGTCTATTTTCTCAAAACAGCTTCTAGAATCTAGAAAATGCTTCAAAAGTGAATAAAATACCTTCAGTGGAGGTTATTTTCACAATATTCTTGTTTAAGAATGCTCACGCGGGTTTGGGCCCGAGGGTTTGCAGATGCTTCAAAGAAAAAAACTCAACTTGTCATCAAAGATGGGCCCTCGCTTCAGGATTTTATTTCTTCAGGTACATTTCTCTTTTTTCAAAGCGAAAATTGCCCTGTTTCATTTTTCAGCGTCAGTAGCCGAAGCCGTAGAAAAGTATGAAGGAAAACTCAAATTGGAGAAGGGAGACAGACGATTGCGCCTACCACCGTGGCTCAAAAAAGAAAAGGTGATTCCAAATTCTAAATGATGTCTGTATTCGAAATACCGAATTTCAGATTCTTCCCTCAGAGAACGAGAACGTTAGTCGACTGAAGAAGCAATTGAAAACACTGAAGCTGGCAACCGTTTGCCAGGAAGCGCGATGCCCTAATCTTGGAGAGTGCTGGGGAGGTTCAGAAGACAGTCTGGCAACAGCCACGATCATGCTCATGGGAGACACTTGCACTCGCGGATGTAAATTTTGTTCTGTCAAAACTGCTCGTGCTCCACCTCCTCTAGATCCTATGGAGCCTGAAAACACATCGACTGCTGTAGCTTCGTGGGGAGTTGAATACATTGTCCTCACGTCAGTTGACAGGTAAATAGTTTTTTTTAAGTTCATCCCGTAACTACTGTTTTCAGAGATGACTTGCCTGATGGTGGCGCTGATCATCTACGTCAGACCGTCCAATTAATGAAACTGAAAAAGCCGGAGCTGTTAATTGAGTGTTTACTTCCTGATTTTGCTGGCGACAAGATAAGCGTCGAAAAACTGGCTACAAGCGGCCTCGATGTATATGCACACAATATAGAAACTGTTGAGCGTCTCACTCCATGGGTTAGAGATCCGAGAGCCAAATACAGACAATCTTTAAATGGTAAGTTCACCATGATCAATACCCCTCTTGTATTCTCTCATTTTAGTCTTGAAGTACGCCAAAGAAGTGAGCCCAAGACTGATAACAAAGACATCAATCATGCTAGGGCTTGGAGAGGAGGATGATGAAATAAAACGGTGCCTTGCGAATCTTCGGTCTAGTAACGTTGATGTGGTCACTTTTGGGCAATATATGCAACCCACAAAGCGTCATTTGCTCGTGAAAGAATGGGTCACTCCGGAAAAGTTTGATGAATGGGCCGAATATTCGAAGAAGCTCGGGTTCCTCTATGTGGCATCTGGGCCACTTGTTCGGTCTTCCTACAAAGCTGGAGAATTTTACTTGAAGAATGTATTGAGAAATAGACAAGCTTAGGTGCAATTCATTTGTAGGTAGTCAGAATTTTGGCCTGTTCTTGCCAACAATAAATTCTGATAATACTTTTTTCAAAGTTTTTTCTGCGCGTTACTTCGCTTTTTATTATCTTCGAATTTTCCTCTTCTTCCTCGTCTCTTGTCTTCTCCTTCTTTCAGCTTTTATACAATACGTTGCAGGGTAAACGATGGGTCTGTCGAACAGAGCGATCATCATTGACGGAAAGAACCACCTTCTTGGTCGTTTGGCCTCGATTGTGGCCAAGAAACTCCTCCAGGGAGAGAAGGTTGTCGTCGTCAGAGCTGAAGAGATTACCATCTCCGGAAACTTCCACCGTTCCAAGCTGAAGTACATGAGCTTCCTCCGCAAACGTTGTAACATCAACCCAGCTCGTGGAGCTTTCCATTACCGCGCTCCAGGAAAGATCTTCTGGCGCACCGTCAGAGGTAATTTGTTGTAACTTGATTCTCCTCACTACGTAGTTCGTTTTCAGGAATGCTCCCACACAAGACCATCCGCGGAAACGAGGCTCTCAAGAACCTCCGCGCATACGAAGGAGTTCCAGCCAAGTACCAGAAGACCAAGACCCTTCACGCCCCATCTGCCAGCAGATTCCGTCTTCAACCAAGAAGGAAGTTCTGCCTTGGTGAGTTGTGCATAAATAGGTTTATGAAACTGATGGTTTTTTTTTCAGTTGGACGTTTGTCCCACGAGGTCGGATGGCAATACCAGGATGTCGTTGCCAAGCTCGAAGCCAAAAGAAAGGTCAAGGGAGCCGCATACTACGAGCAAAAGAAGAAGTTGGACAAACTCGCTGTTCAAGCCAAGGTCAACGCCGCCCCAAAGATTGCTCAATACCAGAAAATCATTGAGGCTCTTGGATACAACTAATTCCATGCACAAATCTGTTTTGCTTTGGTATTATAAAATTGTTGACAATATCAATTGTGTTTTGTTTGAGACTTCATTCAGAAAATAGGTAGATGCTTCTTTCGATATTTCGACATTGCGGTGTCGATGTGACAGACTAAAATTGTAGGGAAATCAGTCATGGCAACTGTCTTGAATGAACAAGGATCAGTTGTCGCCGTTTCGCACGACATGATCATGGTGCGTTATAACGGGAAAGGAGTCTTATTCAAAAAGGATATGATGAATCGTACCTATAAACACGACGACATAGTTCAGTTCAGTGCCAAAAGAGCAACCACTGTAAGGCGTAAATAATGTGATACACTTCATATTAAACGGGATTCAGGTAGATATCGAAGTTGGAGATAAACTGTCTCAAATGGCAAACTATGAAATTGGCTGGCTGGGTACTGATATCAAATACATCAAACCAGGTCGATTGATCATGGCGGAAGGTGTGGTGATCAATATTCCTGATGAAAGAGCCCAATTTATGTTTGTTGATTGGAAATACACGAAAAATCCGCCAGGCCTTCCAAAAGTTCGTGTTCGCTACTTATTAGAACACATGATGGGTTTTTCAGATTCCGGGCTACAATAAACCACTTAACACTAATGTATTTATTACGAAAGCTACTGTTCGTCCGGAGATTGAAAAGCTCTCTGAAATGTTCAAGCCAGGACAACGGGTGAAATACGTTGCCAGAGAACAAGCACCAAACGAGCGAGGAGTTTGCTGGAGAGCAGCAATCGCTACAGATGAATATCATGACATTGTGGTGCGTACTTTTAAAGATAGTAGTCGTTTTTTATTCATTTTTTGTCTCAGGTTGATACTACCTATCAAGGTCGTCAAACTTACCGAGCAGTTCCGAAGACTGGTGTTACCCGTCCAGCCCCCCAGCCAGTAAAGACGCAAGCGAAACCAACTCCAACACCAACTGCAATCGTCAACAATCCACATTCTGGACAACGACCGTTGGTGAAACCCATTCCAAAACCAGCCGAAACGCCGAAGCCGGCATCTTCATCTGTTCTCACGTCAGCTCCAGCTTCTACCATCCCATCGACTTCCTCTTCCACACGGACCTCTTTTGACGTGGGAAAACCGCCACCAACCAATGGTTTCGATTACTTCGACACAACAGAAGAAGCTTGCAATGCTAGATTCAATGCTTTCGGTGTGTTTCGAAACATTTTTCTTTCCTTTAAAAAGTTATATTCCAGCCGCAAAATATCGCAAGGAAAATCCGACATGCATCTTCTCTCAAAAGTGTTTCGAAGGCTGTCTGAAAGTCAAATATCTCAACACCATTACTGAACAACTTTCCGCCATTAAAGTTGCTCAGAACTGATCTTTTCAATTTTCTACAACCATTTCAGAAAGGTGTTATTGATCTCTCATCATACTTCGTGGTCCATCTTGTGTTACATTCTTCCGGCTCTATTCATTTTTCTTCTTTTTTCTGTGTAATAAATTATGTATTTTTTTCGTTAGTTCCATCGAATAACAGAAGATTCTGTTTTCAATATCTCAACCATTCTATCCGTCAAACACTAAACACTTCTGATTCAGAATGCTGGAAGTAACAGCTACGCTGGATCGTGAGGTGGCTATTTATTTAGCTGGTGAAACTGTTAGAGTTACAGTAACAGTATGTAATTTGTCTCGTGGAAAACAAGGTGTCTCCGAACAGCTTGCATGGGGAAGTCTACAGCTGATTTGTGGTAGTTTGAACTAATTTATGTTGTAAACTTGCAATCTAAATTCAGAGAGAACAATCGGTGCATCTTCGTCATCTTCAACGTCAACAGCATCCTCTCGACCTCGTCCAACAACGTCTGTCACAAAATCAGCAGCAACAGTGTACTCATCACCACCGAACATTCTCTTTTGCGAGTTGCAGTTGGCACCTGGACAGTCGAAACAGTTTACATGTGACGTAAGGTTTAAAACCCAATAGCTTTCTCTATTCCACATTTCAGATACCCCTTTCGCGAAACGGAATACCACCGACTTTTCGAGGTCATCTAGTAAAATACTCGAACAGAGTCACTGTGGCAGTCTCTCATGTGCAAGAACATATCAAATCAGCTCATTTGCCTATCAGAATAATTCCATCGGTGGGCCTTGAGACGAAGTTATCGATCCATACGAATCCATTTCTTGCTTCTGCTCTCACCAGACCTTCCGTCGTTGAGGTATTTTTAGTTTTTTGGATTTTCAAAAATTAAAATCCTGAATTACAGACAGTCATGTCAACAGTGGACGATCTGACACAAGCCAGAAAATCACTCGCGTTCGCTCTGACTCATAACTCATCGACATCTCGTGTTGCTCTCCTGACTTTGCCGAAGAAAGCGTACAAGTTAGGAGATGATGTCTGTGGCTTCCTGGATTTCAACGGTGCAACTACTCCATGTGTTCAGTATTCAGCTACAATTGAAACTGAAGAGCATTTGATTGACGCTGATGTGGAGGAAGGCAAAAAGGTAGAAGAAAAGAACAATTTTTAATCAGTTGATATGTTTTCAGAAAATGGTGAAAGTTCATTGCCAGACGGCTCCTATCTGCACATTCTCTCCGGATTCAACATTCCGACTGAGTATCCCTCTCACTGCTACACCAACGTTCTCCACAGATTCAGTTCAACTAAAATGGAAAATCCGTTTCGTGTTCGTGGTTACTGAACAAGCATATGATGTTCATTTGAACGGTGATGTTGCGAGTTCAGCTGCTCAATAGGTTAGTCCATAACTTGTTATTTGAAACACATAATGGTTCATTTTCAGATGTTCCAGTGGAATCTTTCTCTTGGTCGACCGACCTTCTCGTTCTTCCTTGTAAACCACAAAATGCTGCTTTGATTGATAACACCTTCCCTAATCGAATCTCAATGACCGTCTAATTCCACCATTCCCTCTCGCCCTACTTGCGTAATATGATTCATGTCATACTTGCGGACGGGCCCAAAGCGGGCCGGGGCGGGCCTTGGCATAGTTTCTTTTAGGATTGATATTTTTTGGCCAACTAAACTAGATATGGTAGAACTCGACGAGCACTACAAAATGATAGTATTTGGGCCACTGTATCATATTTGTGAACAACGTTACAAGCCAAAAAAGCTGCAAATGCGGGCCGGGCCGGGCCGGTTTTTTCGGCCCGTCTGGTCTGTAACTTTGTTCACAAACATGATACTTCCTTGTAAACCACAAAATGCTGCTATCATTTTGTAGTGCTCGTCGAGTTCTACCATATCTAGTTTAGTTGGTCAAAAAATATCAATCCTAAAAGAAACTATGACAGAGCCCGCCACGGCCCGCTTTGGGCCCGTCCGCAAGTATGATTCATGTATTTATATTGTCGAATTAAAAAAAGTGACACCTGAGAATTTGAAAACTTTTGCTTTTTTTGATATACGAAAAAGTGCGGCAAAAACGTTATATCTCAGAATTTCGGCTCGTTCGAGCTACTTTCGCGTTTAAGTTTAGTTTTTTGCTGAAAAATAGATTCTAGAGTTGCTAGCGATCATTTTCATACCAAGAAATCAATATTTTGTTCAGAAAATCCCATTATTATCCTTGTCAGAGAAAAAAAAGGTTGAGTTGTTTTTCATTGTTTTTTGCGGTATTTTAAAATATATTCGACGAAATTTGCTGCAAAATATGCGAAAAGCTAAAAAATGAGTAAATTTAATATTTTCCCGCCGGGTTACTGTCGCACTCGTTTCAACTGTTTCCGGTTGTTTACGCTTTCAGATATTTGTTTACAAACATCGCATACACTCACGGGGTGAAAGGGTGTTCGCTTTTGAATGAGCGCGCTCCACTGCACTGTGGCGGTAACTCAAATGATATTCGTTGAGTATAGACTCACTGTCGTTAAACGTGAAAAACGTGATACTGAGCCTTTTTTATTTACAACTTTCAATGAGAAAACGTGACAAAAAAAAGTTTTTAAACGTGTCGCCCTTGTTTCTCAGCAGAGAGCGTTCGAAAAAGCGCAAACCCTGCGACCCCGTGTACACTTCGACTCAACCTTTTTTTTTCTCTGACAAGTTTAATAAATTCACATAAATAAATTTGTTATCTACAGTATCCGTTTTCGCTCCGCCCCTCGTAAATCGACACGAGCGCCGTCTCCGAGATTTTCAGGTGTCACTTTTTTTATTCCGACAATATCGTCTATTCAATAAAACGTGGTCGCGCCGCAGGTTGCAAAGTGCCACGCCCCTTTTTGGAACGCGTTCCCTTTTCCCCATACTTGTAACGGGCCGGGCCGGGCTTTTTCCCGAATTTCGGAGGCCCGGCCCTGCGGGCCTGTCATTCCACAAGTTTTGAAAATTTTAAAAAACACATAAGGGACCCTTATGTGGATTTTTTCACATCAAAAATTATTTTTCAAGATATTTTGATATTTTTTGATCAATTAGACGAAACAATCCAAAAACACAAAAAATAATAAAGAAAATTGTATTGAGAGCTCAAAATTTGGCTCAAAATGACAAAATTTTTGCAACCGGGCCTTCCGGGCCGGGCCCGGGCCTTGGAAATTTCTTCAGACCCGGGCTTTGGCGGGCCGGCCCAGAATTTTACAAGTATGTTTTTCCCTCTTCTCACGCGTTTCATAAAGGGGCGTGTCATTTTGCAACCTGCGGCGCGCCCACGTTTTATTGAATAGACAATAACTGTGATTGTTAAATAGTCTATAACATGTATTATCGTAACTTATTCATTCAAACAAAAAATATTTGATAAATTATTGCAACGAAAAAAGCAAGAATCAAGCATGTCCATTTGACGATGTTGACAATAAACCGCTCAACTTCGATCAGGACTTCTTCGATTTTCTTCTCTCCTTCATCTTTTTCAATAACGATACTTGAATCATCGGCGATCGACCGGTTGGCAGAAAAATTATTCATGGTTATGTCTAGAAAAAGTTTCAGCATTTTTAGTCTCAAAAAATCATATTTACCAGTAGAAACTTGCAAGCTCGAAATACGAACGTATCAAGTTTCAGCCACGTTGGTTTAGAAGGTATGTGGGGCAAAGTTGGAAGACGATAAATACAAACATATTCCAGGTCAATTTCAGGAAACCATTAAAGTATGCAGGACTCCACACTTATCACAATCATATTTATCTTCTTTTATTTTTCATGGAATTTCTATTTACATAGCAGATTAGTTTATGTGAATTCAAATGGTACGTTCGAAAATATATTTCATTAAAAATACCCAATTTTTTCAAAGATTTCGAATCAGAGGAAATTCTGAATAATTTCGAGGAGGCAGAAAAGAGATTGAATGCCATATTGCATGGCGATCATGAAAGATTAAATGACATGTGGGAAATAGTCAGAGAATCGATTCCAAAGCGTTGGACAGAACCAATTCCAGTACTAGTGAGTATTATTCTGATACAAAAAAATCGGAGCTTTGGAAGAAAAACGCCGGTGGCCGTTGCCGAAGGTCCCACAGCGACAATTACCGTAACCAAAAAATACTTTTAGTTTCAATATATTTTTATCACATTTCGTTTCTCAATTTTCAGACAATTTCTTCACTAACAAATTTTTTTATTTTACGACTCTTTTGCTGAAAAACAATAGAATACTCGACGAAAAAAAAAACTGGGAAATAACATTATTTTCAGGTTACTGTAGTGGTCGTTGTAGTATCTCTAGCCTCAGCCACCGGCGTTTCTCTTCTACTTCTCCGTTTTATTTGTATCACAATAGTACATAACATGTTTTCCAGGTGTTTGCATGTAATCGACCTGCTGCTATTCGTGATCATTTGGAAAAACTAATCAGGTAATCTTCAGTGAAAAGCTATATTTTAAATGTGATCTCCCTTTTTCAGACTTCGCCCTAGCAAAGAGAGCTTCCCAATAACCGTTTCTCAAGATTGTGATAGTTCAAAAGTAGCAGATGAAGTAAAAAAGTTTGGAGATCAAGTGGAATATATCAAGCATACACCTGGGATCAATGCTAATATCAAAGTTCCGCCGAGATTCAAAAAAAAGAAATCTTACTTTTATATTTCGAGACATTATAAGTTGGCGCTTACACATATGTTTTCAAAGAACCCATATTCAACAGTTCTTATTACAGAAGGCAGGATTATGAATTCTAATTTTAATTTGATAATCTATCCCAATCTTTCAGATGACCTTGACATTGCTCCCGACTTCTTCTCCTATTTCTCAAGCACTAGACATCTTCTGGAAAAAGATCCAAACTTGTATTGTGTGTCTGCTTGGAATGATAACGGAAAAGTTGAATAGGTCTTTCTTTTCCAATTTTGATATATTTTTTCAGCTAGAACATATTGACTGGAATGCCAACGCAACCTTGTACAGAAGCGACTTTTTTGGTGGATTAGGTTGGATGATGGCTAGGTTTTTTGAAATGAAGTATATTCAAAACAATGAGTTCTTTTAGGAGACAATGGGAAGAATTTGAACCAACATGGCCAGCTGTTTTCTGGGATGACTGGATGAGAGACCCAGCTCAACGAAAAGGAAGACAATGCATTCGACCGGAAATTAGTAGAACTGGTATGATGATCCATGGAAAGAAAGGGGTTAGCAAGTGAGTTGCGAGCATAGAAAAAAAATTAAAAGCTCTAGAGATTTTCAGTGGTCAATTCTATGCAGATCATCTGTCGAAAATCAAAATGAGCAATTTTTCTATCAACTTTGAAGAATTGAACCTAAATTATTTATTACCTGTAAGTCTGGGAAATTGAACTGGGAAACCAAAAAAAAAGAGCGTTCCAGAACAACTTCAAAAACAAGATGGATAAAGATCTGGCAGATGCTGTTTTAGTCGAACTGGAAAATATAACTTCTTCAAGTTGGAAACCTGAAGTAAAGAATCTGAAAGTCAAGTATGCAGTCACTAGTTTTTTTTGTTGATAATACTGATTCTCGTGATTTCAGAATCGTGTACACTGGAAAAGCACATTTTGTCAACATAACAAAAGAACTGGGAATAATGAACGAATTTAGAGTAAACTCCAAAATTTGAAAATTCTGAAAATAACTGATAATTTTAGTCCGGAATTCCACGCACAGCATACAATGGAATCGTCACCTGCTTCTTCAAGAAAACACGCTTGTTTTTAGTTCCAGATCGTTCTAAAGTTCCAATTTATGACTAAACATGATGATCTCAATTTTAAAATATTAATCTGTGAATCTTGCTGCATGTTTATTTGATCTTTTCGAATCGGTTCTTGAAAATAATAAAAAGTAAAATTGATAATCCATTTCATTAATTGTAAAATCCGAAGTTTGAGAAAATAAACGTTTTTCATGGTTCCAGATCCTACCAAGATTTCAGATTATAAGCTCAATTGGGGATCCAGTTTTTTCCCTTTTCGCTTAATTATTACTATGTTATCTGTCTATTTATAAATGTGCTACTTCTAATGTTTTGATGCTCAGCTGCTGAGCCTCAGCAGTCCAATTCCAAAAGTTCAACTTTCCTCGAGTGAAAAGAAAAATAATCGGTGTTTATTAGATCAACAGAGACATTTCGATTAGAGTTCTTTTGGTTTCACACGAAGGGAGAAAGAAAGGCAATTAGGTGATCACAAATCTTTTATCTCCGTTTTTTATATTCTCGCAACTACTTTTCGAAAAGTAGTGAAGGTGGGTTCTTTTGGGAAAAAAGGGAAAAAAACCGACGAATAGGAGAGATAGTAATTTTGGAAGTTAGTGGAAACTAATCAGAACACCCCAGAGAACTTTTATGACCCTTATGTGATTTTTTTCGATCAAAAATTTTTTCGAGTTTTGATATTTTTGATCAAACAGACAAACAATTCAAAAACACAAAAAAAAATGGAGAAAATTGAATTGAGAGCTCGAATTTTGGCTCAAAATGACAAAATTTTTGCTACCGGGCCCGGGCCTTGAAAATTTCAACAGGCCCGGCCCGGGCCCGGAATTTCAAAAGTATTATTTTAACCTAAAGAAAATCTCGACGAAAATATTTTCGGAGCTCTGGATACTGTAAATTTTTAGAAAAAATAATTTTTCGTTGGTTTTTTTTCGGTCGGTTGAAAAGTATGGACAATTCGTTAAAAATAGAATTTTAAGAATAAGAAAAAATCTATTGGATTAGCTTGATAACTTCGAAAATTTTTCGAGAACCTTCCAGAAAATCGGAAATCTTTTTGTCTAGTGCTTTTCGATATTTTTAGTCGAAATTTCCGCAAAAAAGTTTTTTGTCGGAGGTCGTTTTTTTGCTCGGCCCTGATGGGAAAGAAGTTCCAGATATTTCGACTACTGCTTACAGTCTTTAATTCTGAAAGGTATAAATATCATCGAAATCGCAGTAGTTCATCAGTAATCATTATTAAGTGTCAGAATCTATTAAGCTATTCCCATTTACTTCGGTATCAGACAGCCGAAGTCGTTTTCTTCTATCCCAATGTTTTTTTTGTTAATTTCGAAAGTACAGTACTCCTTCACTCCATTTAGACTCCACCCATTTTTCTTCAAATTTTTCGTTATCTTCTGATTCTCCAACATTTTCCTTATCTCCCTCTCTCTCTTTTTCCCCTTTTTCCTCTCGTTTCTTCGCCCCACAAGAATGCGTTCGTGTTCATTATTCCACCCATTTTCTAACATCTTCTTTTTGTCTTCTTCATCTTTTAATTACTCTTTAATTCATTACCATATTTCTTCCTCTGTATGCTCCATACAATAAATTCATTTCTTCTTCCTCTTCTCCTGATTCTTTCATCGTTTGAATCCGTCGAATCATCTGCGTCAACGGATACAAAAAATGTGAAGAATGGAGGGGCGAAACCGCCGAATCTGAAACTTCTGGAATGTTTTGAATTCAAGAAAAACTATTGGATTGTCGGACACGCTTTTCATACATCATCTGTTCAGGTGAGCTCAACTTTCAATTTTCAAAACCAATTGATCTTTCGTACTCTGAAATTGAAACTGAAGTTTCTAGTTTTCTTGAAACCTGTCTGTCCTTTATTTCTAAACTAAAAACCATCAATCAAAATCATTGGTACTTTCTATAGAACAAACAACTTCTTTCTTCTGAGATTCTGAATGTGAGGAATGTCTGACCTCTTCTTAGTTCCCCCAACAATCCATCATTTTCACTCTTCTTGATGAGAAACTGGCCGATAATCAGAGAGACCACAAAAAAACGAGGACGACGATCAGATGATTTCGTAGATTTCTTTCCAAGTTATCCTTTCCCAGGAATTCGAAAGCCACGTCATCTCGCAGAAGGTGTGCAATGTGTAATTTGAATCGCGCTTTTGCAACATTTTGAGGCAAATCTCAACAAATCATGTTCATGATAAGCGTGTTTTCTTATCACCTATATCGTCAGTCTTTCTCTCCATGCCAACACCGACACACATTTTTTAGCGATGACAAAACGGAAATGAATTAAGTTTACACTTGAAAGATTTTTCCTCGTTTTTGATAGAAGTTCAATGTATCCAAAACACATACTGAAAACCACCACGATCAGCAATAGTGGAAGTTGTTATCACTCTCTTTATCACCGGTTAATAAAACACATTGAAGAAAAAAAAACGGAGAAGTCAAGAATATCTGTTCTAAAAATGGAAGCGATTCTACTCCGATTTGTGATTTAGGTGATGAAGGTGTTACTATCTGGAGAATCAGTGATTTGATGATACTCTCTGTCTGTGACATGTCATTGAAGTTTGGTCGGTGTTTGAGAATGTTGACAAGGTATTCGATTAGAAACAAAATACGAAATACCTGGGAGAGAGAGAGAGAGTTCAAAAAGTTGAAGACCGGTTGAATCTGTGGATGGATTTTGGATTAGTCACTCAATACCAAGAAGAGGTTAACGCAGAAATATAGAGCTTGATTTAAGCTGGATGAAAAATTATATTTTTGCTTGATACATTTTCGGAAAGATTGAAGCATTCGAGGGTTGACATCTTTTGAAATGAGTCTCGATCTTTCAAAATTCTTTTCAAAATCATTTTTTTTTTGAAAATCGACAAAGCTCGAAATATTTTTTAACTTTTGATTGATATCAAGACTAATCCCCAAGTACCTTGGTAAAACCTGCATTAGAAGGACCGTGTCTAGGGGCACTTCAATTAGAGAGGCCCTTCAAACAGGGACGCACTTGTATTTTTCCCGGGGTCGCTGAGGAGGGAACTTCTATTCTAGGGTCAACGTTTCTCGGTGGAATTTTTTTCCACTTCACATCAGGGATGTGCGTAAAATTTTTATTTTACGAATTTCGTAAAACGTAAAATTTTACGAATTACAAGCTCTTATTATTAAGCAATTGGTAAATGGTCCGCAAATGTTGAAAATCGTAGAACCGAATGCTTCTATGGGGTTTCAACTATTTATAATTTTTTTCCTTAAAAAAATGCTAAATTGTGAAAAAAAAACATTCAAAGTTGGAAAAAATATTTTTAAAATGAAGCAAATTCATGCTTTAAAATGAGATGTGAGCATAAAATCAACTAAAAACTAGATCAAGAACATGAAAATGAACCGGAATACTGTCAATTCTGAACAAAAATGGTGAATAAACACTCATCCAGTTTTTACGAATTTTACGGATTTAATTTTAAAATTTTAAGAGTACCAAAAAACCTTAAAATCCGTACAATTCGTAAAATTCGTAAACGTAAAATCACATCCCTGCTTCACATCCATCAACAATTTTTTAATGACAAAACAAAAAGCACATATAATTCATTTAAAACAAAAAAAGAATAGAAAGTCAGTTAATCACATCAATCGAGGGGCCCTTCAATTAGATGGAGCACTTCTATTTCAGAGGCCCTTCTAATACAGGCTTTACCGCATCTAAAAAACAAACTAGAATTTTGAAAATTTCAGTTCAAAGACGAATGTCTCCGTATGTGCCTTACCTCATCAATCCGCAAAGCAAAGTGCCTATCAGCAATGCATGTTCCAAACGATGACGAATGTGTGATTTCAGATCAAAATCAGGTAGATATCTCGATTATTCAACAACCGATTTTTCCAAAAATTAGGTCACCAAACCCGATCTCTTCATTGAAAATGACACTCCTGGATCGTTTACTGTCAACTTTTTCCGCAATATTTGTGTGGATCCTCCAGATTCCGAAGGTTGGATTTAATTGAAAAATGAAAAAAAATATATTTTCAGGAGCCAACAGATTCGAGGCACGTCTTCAGGGATATAAAGGCGGAGAAGGAATAATTGAATTGGCACAAACGTCAGGGAGAAACACTCAAGTGATGGTGGTAATTTCGGGACTCAAAGAGAACTCGGTAAGATTGGATTCCAGTGCTCAAACACTTAAAAATACTAATCAGCTCTACGAAGTTGCTCTTTTGCCTGGAAGATCAGATGAAAAGGGAGGAAAGTGCCATAAAAAAGCCAGAGTGGATGGAGAAGAAAAAACGATAATGACATTGGAAACAGATCACACTGGGATGGCGGTTGAACCATGGCGCAATATGGATTTAGATATTTTTGAAGAGAATGTGATTGGATTGGTTAGCGAATCAGTTTGAAAATTTAAGAGTCATTTTACAAAAAATTTAAGTTTCCAGACTGCCATTGTCGTAGAAAACTCATCGCGAACAATCGTCGACTGTGGACCAATTCGTCTTGCCTCCTCATCATCATCTAACTCATCTTCCACTCAAGTTTCTTCATCTGAAAAATCTGAAATTCTCTTCTTTTCCACGGGTCTCTCACTCATTCTTTCTGTCTTTCTGTTCATGTAGATAACCAAAAACCATAAAAAACCATAAAATACATTAATTATTAAATATCTAAAAACATCCGATTCGAATAGAAGAGATTACTGGGATAAAATCACAGAATTCAGAGAGAATTAAATTACAAAATAAAGTAAAATCAGCGAAATCCAAATTAGACGATGGCAACGGTATACTCCAGCTTCAGAGTGAAGTATCCGGAAAGATTTTGGAATTCAAATGAGACTTCCGAATCGGATACATCATTCAGGGTTCCTTCTTCGTTGAGTTTGTTGGTGATCAAGTGGAGACTTGGAAAAACGAGATCGTTTCGGTTCTGGAATACTAGGATAGTGGAAAAAAAAAAATTAAAGTTAGAGGGTTCTAGAACGTCCAGGAGTCGGAGTAAACCTTTTTATATTCGGATATTTTTCTCTTCAATAATCTTTTTGATTGTTGATTAATTTTCTCTAAAGTAATCGTCGTAATTTTCAAATATTTTTCACTACAGTAATCCTTTTCATTTTTCTTTTTTCTCTATACAGTAATCCTTCCAAGTTTCGAGTATTTTATCCCTACAGTGGTACTTTCAATTTTCGAATGTTTTCGCTACAGTAACTCTTTCCATTTTCGATTTTTTTTCCGCCATAGTAATATTTTTCAAAATTGGAGCTCTGTATTTAACAGACAGTAACAAACATTCTGATCTTTATACCATTCATATTGTAAACCCAAAAAATTGAAAGAAAATGCTCACATTTCCTCTGTAAATGGCAAATTGAACTTCTCCGCTGGCTGTGAAATCCCACAACAGCTTCTTATCCTTTGGAACTTGAATCTTGAAAATGAACTTATCCGATGGTGAAACATCTTTATGGCTTGGTTTCGGACGTTCGATTCCATGGGATTTATAGTGGAGATACGGTTTGTAGTAGTCAGCTGAAGTGATTTTACGACGAATTGACACTCCCGTTTCGTCTCCGGGTGGTACGGTATTCACGAATTCTCCTGCAAAATTTAAGATTTCAAATTAGAGATTAAAAAAATAAACACTCACCTCCATACTCTTTTGGAACTAGCCATGCTGGCAGGAACTTTCCAGCAAGATCTGGAGTGTGGGAGATAATTTCGATTCGTTTCAAATTCTCTTCGGACAAAAATACTCGGGCAACTTTCCACAGAAGTCCAAGCAATCGAGGGGGATTGGTCAAATAGATTCGTTGAACCATTTCTGGGTACCTGAAATGTATCTGAACGTGTTTCAGGGTTCTTCTTTAAATTCAAATTTACCAATCTTGCCAGAGCTCACTTCTGATTTGCCACAATTTCATGTAACCGGACATTGGGTTGACCTGAAAAATAAACTGAAACAGTTTCAAATTCAGATTCAAAAACGAACGTAATCCGTAATATTGACAGTATTGAGATCAAAAATAACGATGAACTGAACGGGTCCTTTATCAGCCGACTGCTTCTTTTCTCGTCTTAAAATAAGTTGTTGAAGCATTTCAGAGTATCCAAAGCAGTGAAGAAGATAGTCACTGGTTTTGAAAGTTTTAATGAATTCTTTTGGTTGGGACCAAGCTCTTTCAACAAATAAAAACGCGTTATGTTCATCCGACCATTGACGATCCTGGAGTCTTGAAGAAGCAATGTACTGCAGGAAAGGTTCAATATCCGGAAGTTCGAAGAACTTCTCCGCAAAATCGTCTCCAACAAATCCAGCTGCTTTTCTAGATGCCAAATATGTTGCAAAGTTCTTCACGATTTTTTCCATATCTCCATGATATCCTCTCAACCAACGACAGAGATTCAAATCGGTGTTGACGTCATCAGGAATTCCATTTGGAAGTTTCTCCTGGAGCATTGCACGAACCGAGTTGATTTGGCTCTTTTCGAGATCCGAAATTGGCTCGGATGATCGGAATTCTGTTTTCACACCCATAATTACTCCTGAAACAATTAGAATTGGGAAAGTAAAAAGAAAAAAAACAAGAACTTAATTGAAAATAAATTTAGAATGATTCAATGTCTTAAATACTGAAAATGCATTTGAAAGTCAAACAATTTAGGTAATGCAAATGTAGATGGATAATGGAACAGACGGACGAGGAGGAATCACAAAATGGGCAAAGAATGGGATAACCGGTTTAGAGGGAAGTTAAGAAATAAGTTAACGGAAAAAGGGGAGACATGGACATGGACAAAAAAGAGAAAAGGAATTGTTTAACATTCAAATGACGTATTCAGACATATGAGGAGAGGATAGTTATAGGAATAGGTAGAGAAGATTTGATAGGTTTTGGAATTGAATTCAAAAAATTTAACTAACCTTTGGAAGTATGAAAAACAAACTTTAGGAACAATTTTTTTACATGTACTATATTTCACTAGAAATTGAAAAAATAATAATTTCAGAATTTATGTACAGTACTGTTCAATAAAATTTTTAATAGAAAGACGTATTTTTCAGTTGATTTTCGGCCATTTGTACCATTTTCAGGAGGCCTGAGGTCGGCTGTCAAGCTGTCAAGCTTCCAAGCATTTTGAAATTTTCAAAGTGTGTGAAACAGACCTAAATTGAAAACTTTGCATTTTCAGAATTGTTAGAAAATTCCCAGTTTTTCAGCTATTTGCCGATTTCTGGAAGACCCCTGCTTTTTTCTTACGTTTTCAGTACAAAAACGGACCAAAAGTGTCTTTCTCAATTGGCCAATAGCGGAAAAAATAGGAATTTTCAAAAAAAAAGTCTTCAACCTAGATTTGTTTTACATTCCAAAAAATGTTCAAAGTGATCGGAATGCCAAAATGGCTGAAAAACAACTGAAAAAATAAGTTTTTGTTTATCTTATTGACTGGTAATAAATATATTTTTTGGCGATTTTCGATTCAAAAAACCTGGAAATTGTTTGTGACATTAAAAAAAGTATTTAATTGATATTCCAAATGACCAACAAAATCACAGACAAGCTTAAGAAATGATACTGAAGTTTGAAAAGAAAGAAACCGAGAGGATGTCGGAAGAAAATAAAGAATGAAAAGAAGAAGAAAAGAGAGAAAAGGTGTCATCTTTCCCTCATCGCAATTATCGAAATCGACCATCTTTCGGGAGGCAAAAGTATTTCGGCCATCGAAATCGTTGGAAGAAAAATTAGAACATGAAAACGATTCTACCCTGAAACATGTTTGAAAATAAAAGTAATTGAGACAAAAATAACCAAAAGTACCAGAAAGGAGGGAAAAGAGAAAAAAGGAAAATGTACATACATATCCATTGGATTGGATTCAATCCATTCATCAGACTGGTCATCATCTGAAGGTGTACCGTGTAGGACATTCCTGTTTTCGAGAAAGAAGAGGTGAAAGGATGAGAGGATGAGAAGAAAAGAAATCCTCGCCGAAACTTGACCAAGTGATAAGAGTCGGAAATGAATGTTGCTATTTGTTTCGATAAACGGATTGTATTAAAACTATATTAATCAAATTTGTTAGAGTTCTAAAGTAAATAAACAGCTATACTCAGAATTTTCGAACTCAATAGCCAAGACGCTTTGAACTCAATGGAATTAAAACTGACATTCAGTTCCACATGAGATGAGAATAATGGCGATTCAAGGTCAAGACTCCTCCCATTCTATACGTTTCTCCTCCTCGCTAATTTTGACAAAACGGAACAATTATATGTTACGGAACAGTTTCGATTTGAACGAATAGGTTTGAGGAATGTTTTGTTGGTTTTTAATAATTGTTGGGTTGAAAATCCAGTCTCTTGAAAAGCATTAAACTGTTTTCTGCCAAGCGTGCCTATGGAAATTTTTTTTGGTTACATGTTCTATATTTCGATACACATTTCTGGAAAATTTTTGGGAAACTTCAAAATTTATATTTGCAACTATGTTATGATCTTCCTAAACCTTTTCCATTTTGGAATTCACCATGTAGAGAGTATAATTTCAATTCGTTATAGAGTTTCTATGGTTATCTTGGAAAATTTCCCACGGTAAATGTTTTGAAACTTATGCACAAATGTGAATAAGGAAACACACAATTTCATAATTTTTCAAGCTTCTTACAGAGAAGCCAAAGATCTTGACATAAACATAATACTGTAAACACTTTAATAGTAGGCCGCCCTATACTTGCACTTTCAGCTCAATTATCTCGGTTCATATGAAAGATATCAACAGTTTTTCAACTGTTAAAATGTTTATCATTATATTATCAACATTTAATCAGTTGACAGATTTTTACCATCTCACATAGGATCCAAAATAATTGAGCTCAAAGTGCAAGTATAGGGTGGTCTTTTCTGAATCATATGACGAAAAAAGTCTTCAGAAGAATGAGATAAAAAACAATATTCAAAAATCTGAAAAAAATCAAAAATAGAAAAGAGTCACAAGTCGCCTAGGAAAGTACACTGGCAATTATTATTGGATAGATTTATTGAAAACAACTCAAAGCAATTAAGAATTCGAATCTTGCGAAGAAATGCAAACATCACTTCAAGGATTTCCACAAATTATGTTATTTCTAGGTCAACCGAAAAGCCTAAGAAATGTAATTTGAACATAAATGTGACTTCGAATGAAATCCTTCATATTTCCTTGATTTAATCAAAACATATAAGCGTAATGTTCAAAAAGAATGGTTCATGGAACACCTTCATCTCCCGTCGTCTTCTTTTTCTTCTATTTATAACTCCATTTCTATGTATTCCGATAGAGATAGATTAGAAAGCTTTGTCTTCTGTTCCTGTCATAGTGGAAATCTATCTCGCAGAAATTCTCGACGAATATTCAGATAAAATCTTGGAGAAAACCTAAAGAAGTTTTGAGGCAAAACAAGGTTTGCAGATAGGAGAAACATGTCGCGATAGCGTGGAAATACAAGAGAGATTCGTATAATTTATTTGGGAAAGGTAGATACAATAAATACAGGGTGGATTAGATTGACCGTCTTCTCTTACAGTATCTAGAGTCGCAGTCCTTTAAAGTCGAAATTAACAACGACAATATTCCCTGTATATACCTGAATCGTAAAATTAGCCTGACATGTGTTTCTTGCGACATCATTAATCATTAAAGGTGGGGGGACAGGAGATTTTTCGTAGTTTTTTTGTAGCTAGAGTATGCATTCTACCGTCACGGTGTACAACGCTTAATGCCACTCTGCGTACAGCCGGCGTCCTCGCCTTTATGTATGCAATCGGGCGCCGGCTGCCTTTTCCCCCGCGTGGCTCAGTCGGTAGCGGCGCCGCACTCTCAATCCGCGCCCATGCTAGCTCAACTCCTCGAGGGGCATATTCAGACGGAATTTCGAGAACATTATTTTTTTCTTGTCTCCCCACCTTTAAGCAATGAAATAAAAAGTACCAGAATCGTATGCACATGCAGACACATAGCTGATATTCGAGAGTCCCTGGAGCAAAAAAGTCATAGATTCTGGAATTCAAAAACCCTGAAGGTCCAAAGCCAACGTCTTCTGAGCTTTTGCGAATTTTTCGGAGTTACACTAACCATGATCATGATATTTTTAGAAACTTTTGAACCCAATTTGCAACTTTTGAAATCTGACATCTACCCGATTTAGACCTCCTGGTTTCAGCAGAATTAGTATCCCTTCATTTTGAAGATGCTCTTCTTGTCTCCGTCTCATACCACACATTCTTATCTAATCCAAACAGTTATCAAATTTGTTTATAACCTAACTCCACTTCCTTATTTATCATTCTTGTTGAGTATCTGCAAACAAATAAAATATGAAAACTTCTGTCAATAATCACATATCAACAACAATCCGACGAGTATAAAAACTTTTCGGGATACAAAAAATCTCAGAAATATTCAGAATGTCCACTCTTCGACTCCTCTACCTCTTCGCATTCTTTTTCATTTCTATTTCTCAAATCACCGGACAAGACTTGCATTCGTGTACAAAAATGGACAAGAACAGCCAAGTTGCCAGAGCAGCTTGTATCACAAGTTGTGCCGTTCAGGTATCAGAAGATTCTCGAAAAACGTACAAAATCTAAAATCACGTTTTCAGCATTGCGCAACGGGATACTGTGAGAAGAGAGGAAATCGGCCAACTTGTGTCTGTAGCAGATGCGACAAAGGTGGAAACATTCCATTTGGATCCATTCTCGATGCGGCTGGAAAATTTATCCAGGGATAAACCTGTAAACCGGCTACCATCAGATCTTATGAAATTCTTTTCAATTTGAATCTTTTGACAAATGACTCTTTTGACCTTTTGAATTTTATAATTATTTTGAAAACGACTCTTTTGACATTTTGACTCTTTTGATTATTTTGAGGCTTGAAAATTTTTGATTGTTGCGTGAGAAATTTAAACGAATAGTCAACTTCTCGTCAAAAGTTTCAAAAAACATTTGAAACGGAACATTAGTAGAGAGGTAGTCTTCGTAGAATTGATCGGATCCTTGCCTTCCCAAAAGCCCTGGAAGCTCGTTACAATTCGGACTCCTCATCGACTCCTCGGTCCGACTTCTCGTTTTAAAATTGAGTAAATTGGATTCCGTCTGGCTCTGATTCTTTGAATTTCACAATAGTATAGAAATATATAGGGTCACTGTAGTTCAAAAAACACGATAGAAGATATCTGTAAAAATTCGAAACTTTCAAAAAAAAGTAAAGTCGGAAGTTTGAAGTCGGAAGTCAGTGTGTTCCAGTAGATCCTCTGCTGCCAGAAAGCTCAGCGTACGCTATCAATTGCTATTTCATTTTATTTCAAAATTTGATTTCGGTCATTTGGTAAAAGGGGGACGTTCAGTGGTAAACACCTAGCCATGAACCCCAAACAATGGCGACCCGAGGCCTTTTAGTACTTTTTTACTTCAATGTCGTCGATCAGTCTTCAAAAAAAAGAAATAGCAATGAGTAGTGCATCCGTCGTCGTCGAAGAGAGAGGCCAGCAGTCTTCGTAGAATTGATCGGATCCTTGCCTTCCTAACTGCCCTGGAAGCTCGTTACGATTCGGACTCCTCATCGACTCCTCGGTCCGACTTCTCGTTGATTTCTCCAGCTTATATAGCCCCTGTAGATCTGATCTGGAGATTAGATAAGAATATAGTTCATGAAAGTTGTCAGCACGCGGAATTTCTTTTTTTTTTCGTAATAGAAAAATCAAATTATGGAAATTGTAACCTGCCACGGCTAATAATTTGCGAATATTGATTTTTTTTTTCTGATTTGTAGGCGCTTTTCGCGATACTGAAAAATTATGTTTTTTGGCATTTAAAAGTTCTAGGTCGAAATTTTTGATTTTAAAATAGGCAACAATTATGAAGACGAGGAAAACACACAAAATGAGTCTAAAAAGATTAGTCAGATTACTGTAAATTTGTGTGAAGATTTTAATTTTTTCCAAAATAGTTTGCTTGTGTTTATTCGGCGTGTTATTTATGGCGTTAAACTTTTGGCGTGGATTGGCGTGGAATGACCTAGAAAGGGAACGAAAGAGGGAAAAGTGATGTGACTCGAGGCTCTCAAATCTCTCAATATGTCGGTTCACGAACAAATTAAGTCCTTTTGAATTTTTTGATTTTTAGTTTTTTTGCGGATGCACGAGAAAAGCGTCAACAGACACTAGTTGTGCATTATTCGTGATTTATTTACCGTGCCTGCTAGAAAAATTCCAAAAATGGGGTAAGAAAAAATGGAAAAAATCAAATCGATAATCGCAGACTTACGCTGGGTTACTGTAGTTTTTGATTGCCTTCTGAAATCATGATCAGTGTCTTGAAAACATGCGAACCTAGATTATCAGCATTATCGCCACAGATCAGTCGTCTCAAAAATCATGACCAGTGTCTTCTGAAATCATGATCCGTGTCTTGAAAACATGCGAACCTAGGATGAAGTTACATAATGTAGTTTTATATTGTAAAGAATTACAGTAGTTTAAACATTTATAGCGTTACTATGAATCGGAAAACATGAAGATAACTTACTTTAGATATTCTAGGTAATTACTACATAGTTTGAAAACGCAGAGGATTACTGTAGTTTGGAAATTTATTGAGTTACTGTATCTAAGAAAACAGAGTAGCAGATTACTGTAGTTTAACAATGCATAGGGTTACTGTGTATAGTAATTCCCATTTTCACAGTAATCAGTAATCAAGATTTTCTATTTTATAGTGATCCAATTCTACAGTAATTCAATTTTAAAAAATTGAGAAAAAAGGCTTATTCCAGTTGGGTTCTACGACATCTATGGCTGATTTCAGAAGGCAATCAAAAACTACAGTAATCCGACATAAATCTGCGATTTCCGCTTTGATTTTTTTCCATTTTTTCATACCCGGGTATTCCACGCCAAAAATAACACGCCGAATAGACAAGCAAAGAATTTTGGAAAAAAGTAAATTTCAGCCAAATCTACAGTAATCGGATCAAAATCTGAGTGCTTCAAAACCATCTCATTTCTGCACAAAAGTTACTTAATTAAAAAAATTTAAAATGGGCGGTATTTTAATAGATACCCAAAAACTTCGAAAAATTGAGATTTTCAGTTGGTTTTCTTAAAAATGTATTTCCCCTTCAATTCTTAACCAAATTTGACGCTTTTAGGCTCATTTTGTGTGTTTTCCTTGCCTTCATAACTGTTATTTCAAAACTATTTCAAAATCAAAATTTTTGACCTAGAATTTTTAAATGCTGAGAAAGCTAATTTTCCCCTGTATCGAGAAAAGCGCCAAGAAATCAGAAAAAAAAATCAAAATTCGCAACTTGTACCCCATTTTTGGATTTTTCTAGCAGGTTCCATATTTCCATGATTTGATGAGGGATTTGAGAGCCTGGAGTCACATCACTTTTCCCTCTTTCGTTCCCTTTCTAGGTCATTCCACGCCAATCCACGCCAAAAGTTTTCCGCCATAAATAACATCTTTTTAGACTCATTTTGTGTGTTTTCCTCGTCTTCATAATTGTTGCCTATTTTAAAATCAAAAATTTCGACCTAGAACTTTTAAATGCCAAAAAACATAATTTTTCAGTATCGCGAAAAGCGCCTACAAATCAGAAAAAAAAAATCAATATTCGCAAATTATTAGCCGTGGCAGGTTACATATTTCCATAATTTGATTTTTCTATTACGAAAAAAAAAAGAAATTCCGCGTGCTGACAACTTTCATGAACTATATTCTTATCTAATCTCCAGATCAGATCTACAGGGGCTATATAAGCTGGAGAAATCAACGAGAAGTCGGACCGAGGAGTCGATGAGGAGTCCGAATCGTAACGAGCTTCCAGGGCAGTTAGGAAGGCAAGGATCCGATCAATTCTACGAAGACTGCTGGCCTCTCTCTTCGACGACGACGGATGCACTACTCATTGCTATTTCTTTTTTTTGAAGACTGATCGACGACATTGAAGTAAAAAAGTACTAAAAGGCCTCGGGTCGCCATTGTTTGGGGTTCATGGCTAGGTGTTTACCACTGAACGTCCCCCTTTTACCAAATGACCGAAATCAAATTTTGAAATAAAATGAAATAGCAATTGATAGCGTACGCTGAGCTTTCTGGCAGCAGAGGATCTACTGGAACACACTGACTTCCGACTTCAAACTTCCGACTTTACTTTTTTTTGAAAGTTTCGAATTTTTACAGATATCTTCTATCGTGTTTTTTGAACTACAGTGACCCTATATATTTCTATACTATTGTGAAATTCAAAGAATCAGAGCCAGACGGAATCCAATTTACTCAATTTTAAAACGAGAAGTCGGACCGAGGAGTCGATGAGGAGTCCGAATTGTAACGAGCTTCCAGGGCTTTTGGGAAGGCAAGGATCCGATCAATTCTACGAAGACTACCTCTCTACTAATGTTCCGTTTCAAATGTTTTTTGAAACTTTTGACGAGAAGTTGACTATTCGTTTAAATTTCTCACGCAACAATCAAAAATTTTCAAGCCTCAAAATAATCAAAAGAGTCAAAATGTCAAAAGAGTCGTTTTCAAAATAATTATAAAATTCAAAAGGTCAAAAGAGTCATTTGTCAAAAGATTCAAATTGAAAAGAATTTCATAAGATCTGATGGTAGCCGGTTTACAGGTTTATCCCTGGATAAATTTTCCAGCCGCATCGAGAATGGATCCAAATGGAATGTTTCCACCTTTGTCGCATCTGCTACAGACACAAGTTGGCCGATTTCCTCTCTTCTCACAGTATCCCGTTGCGCAATGCTGAAAACGTGATTTTTTTTCATAGTTTGATTTTTCTATTACAAAAAAAAAAGAAATTCCGCGTGCTGACAACTTTCATGAACTCTTTTCTTATCTAATCTCCAGATCAGATCTATAGGGGCTATATAAGCTGGAGAAATCAATGAGAAGTCGGACCGGGGAGTCGATGAGGAGTCCGAATCGTAACGAGCTTCCAGGGCAGTTAGGAAGGCAAGGATCCGATCAATTCTACGAAGGCTGCTGGCCTCTCTCTTCGACGATGATCACCGGGATCGGCAGCGAATGGACAAGGAGGACGTCGGATGCTGGAAAGAATTGGATGCTGCGCACTTCAAGGAAGCTTCGGATGCACTACTCATTGCTATTTCTTTTTTTTTGAAGACTGATCGACGTCATTGAAGTAAAAAAGTACTAAAAGGCCTCGGGTCGCCATTGTTTGGGGTTCATGGCTAGGTGTTTACCACTGAACGTCCCCCTTTTACCAAATGACCGAAATCAAATTTTGAAATAAAATGAAATAGCAATTGATAGCGTACGCTGAGCTTTCTGGCAGCAGAGGATCTACTGGAACACACTGACTTTCGACTTCAAACTTCCAACTTTACTTTTTTTTGAAAGTTTCGAATTTTTACAGATATCTTCTATCGTGTTTTTTGAACTACAGTCCTATATATTTCTGACCCTATATAATTTTGACCCTTTTTTGACCCTATATATTTCTATACTATTGTGAAATGCAAAGAATCAGAGCCAGACGGAATCCAATTTAATCAATTTTATAGAATACCTATGAATATGGCGCTTTCTTCTTATTGATTTGCAACTGCTGCAGGAACAACTCCGAGTTTTTCCTATCTTCTCACAATGTCTATTTGAGAAGTTCTGGAAAGTATTTAAACTACGAAACCCTTCTCGAATATCTCATACGAAATTGGCACAGCTCGCAATGCAATGATTTCAGAAATCTGTAGCTGCCAAGTTTTCAAGAATGAATATTTATAAAATTGTAAACCACATGTTTATAAAATTATAAACCAAAATATGAGACAAAGCTCTAACTCTTATTTTTATTGGAATAAATATCAAAATTTCATATTTTCAATCTCAATACAGAAATTTGAAACTAAATACCAAGACCAATAAAGACGAATATTCATAAAATAGGAAGCCACATATTGTTGAAATTTGATATATTGAAATATATTGAAATTTGAAGGAATCAGAGCCAGACGGAATCCAATTTTCTCGACTTTAAAGAATGCCTACGAATATAGTGGTTTTCTTCCTCTTGATTTGCAACTACTACAGGAACAACTTGGATTATTTTCTCTCTTCTCACAATCTTCATTTGAGCAGTTCTGGAAAATATTTTAACTACGAAACCCTTCTCGAATATCTCATACGAAATTGGCACAGTTCGGGAACCAACCAAGTGTGGGCGGAAGCAGGGTTTAAATATACAATGCTTGTCAGTTTGTTCCGGGAGCTAGGCATTTCCTTTCATTACTCACTTTGATTATTTCTAGAATAGGTTTGACGTAACAAGAACAGAGACTGGTCGAATCACAGGGTATGGGTGATACCGTATGACAGTAACAATAACAAGTCAGCTACTATAAAATCACTCACCTGGTGCTGAACCTCAGAAAGTCTCAAAATGTCTTCCTTCTAACTCTTCTGCCTCCTCGCTATTCTTCTTGTCTCGGTTTCTGAAATTTCTGGACAAGAGCTTTCATTGCATATCCATGCTTGTTCCACAATGGATACAAACCCTTCATCTGCCAGAGATCATTGCACTGCGAGCTGTGTTCGTCAGGTATAAGATATTCCATAAGGGTTTCGTAGTTAAAATATTTTCCAGAACTGCTCAAATGGACATTGTGAGAAGATAGGAAAAACTCGGAGTTGTTCTTGCAGCGGCTGCAGATCAAGAGGAAGAAAAAACCGTCATATTCATCGACACTCTTTAAAGTCGAAAAAATTGGATTCCTTCTAGCTCCGATTCTTCAAATTTCAATATATTCATGTGGTTTCCTATTTTATAAATATTCGTCTTTATTGGTCTTAAGTATTAGGTTGGCTAACTAGGGAAGGTTGTAACTGGGGTATGGGAATTCGATGAGAGACCTATATCATTCGAAAGCTGAGAATGAGACATTTTCAAATCTATATTCAGATTTTGCTGCGGGCTCACCAGTTTCGAGAAAAACAGGTTTGAAATTTGGCTCAAATTTGAGTCCGCCGAGCGCCTCATCTTCCCTCTTTCTTATACGCATTGGGAGAAGAGATCCAGCGAAGTGTGGTGTAGTGGCGAGGAGGGAAGGGATCTGACAAGCCATAGGATCGACCCCTCCTCCCCCCAATAATTTTTAGTGTTTTTTTTCTGATCCCTCTGGAAGTCTGAAAATGTTGTATAAGTTTTTAAAATTTTTTTGAAGATTTTTTTTAATTCCTGGAAGTGCAATGTCATGTGAAAAATCTTTCTACGAATGAAAAATTATTTGGAATTTTGCAAGTTCTGAAAATGTTCCAAGTTTTAAATTTTCAAAGCATAAAAATATTATAAAACTTTATTTATGTGGGCACAAGTGCTTATTTACAATGATGAAGGGCGAAAAACAAATGTATTCTTTGCAACGAGCGCATCTAATGAATGATAGTTCAAGGCATCCTGGCTCGTGGCAGTCCTTGTCACCGACTTGTTCGAAACAGAATTTGGCTGGAGTCTCAAAAACAGCGGAGGAGTCCATATACCCAGTTTTTTCCACGAATATTGCAAAAATGGTTTGAAATATTCGGATGAGATTTGGTGAAAGAGAAGTGAAATCATCCAAATCTCATTATTCCTCTGGGCAATAATATAGTCGGCGTGGAACGCCAAAGCATACGCCATGAATTTTTTGAGAAGGCTCTGAATGATTTTATTGGTGGTATAATTTTGATTGACATACTTTGAATGGTCCGTTCCAATGCGCGTCAAGAGGCTGTATAAGACCGGTGGTGTATGGGGAAATATTCCTAATGGTGACATCAAAACCGGCCGGGATACACTGCTCAATAGCAGTATGGTCTGTGAAACTTGGCCAACTGTCCACCAACATGTACATTTTCTTTGGGTTCTCGGGGATGAACACACAGCATTTCAACCAGTCTCTCATCAAATCCTTGGTCATGATGTGGGATTTTCCTGCCCTCACTTCGAGATTTGGAACATTTGGAATTGGTCGAGAAGGTGGAAAGATGCCAGTTGGTTCAGCTAGCACCATGAATGCTTTGGGCCCCATTGTACCATCCATATACAACATGGGCAACAATGTGAAAGAATGGGTCAATGATGATTTTGATTGAATCAATCTTTCCACGTTCTTCTCTCCGAAGAATGACAAACTCCGAGCACCGTACAATTCTTTTTGCACACGAGTTTGATCAGAGTTGAAGATCATGGACGGACTGAACAGGGACATCTCTCTTCGGCAAACATTCACAAAATCTTCAGCCTTCTTTTTTATCAGTTCCTTATCAACCATACATTTCCGGGTAACAAATTCTGTTATCTTTCGACTGACGATTCTAAAAAAAGAATTCAAAATATGCATGAGGTATACCAGAACCTGTGCGAAGATTTCCACGACGTTATCCAGCTATGCGAAGCTTTGAATCCTTGAATTTTGGTTTCTTTGTTGTTGATATAGAGAGCAAATCTTTGCAAGTCGAGGTCATGAAGAGAAAATCCTAGAATTGTAATTCTTTAAAAAAAATGAAACTGTCGAAAATACCTGTCTCCAATTTTTCTTTAACAATTTCGTAGAGCCGTTTGCTCAAAAGTCTCAACAAATTGGTCCGATTTTCTTTGAATTCATTTTTTTCTTTTTCAAATGCTCTCAATTTCTCCATATGCTTCGCATCCGTCCTGGGCATCCTCTCTGGACACGGCCTTCTTCTGTCTCCTCAATCGTCAATTCGCCTTCTTTGGTTTGGTCTAGAAGACTGCATAGGACTCTAGCTAATTTCTTCTCTTGTCTTGAAACCACTGGAGCATCAGGAATTTTGATGGAATAGTTTTGAACAAGTAAAAAAAGGACATGTGATATGTTTAATACCATGTCGAGGAATAAGTATGAAGAATGATAGCCAATCGATGTTTGTCATTCATCGGAAACATTTTGAGATATTTTTCCCGGGAAAAAATTCAGAAATTAGCGCTGCAGAATTAAAAAAATCTTCAAAAAAATTCAAACCTATGGCTTGTCAGATATTGCCCTTCCCTCCTCGCCGCTACACCACACTTCGCTGGATCTCTTCTCCCAATGCGTATAAGAAAGAGGGAAGATGAGGCGCTCGGCGGACTCAAATTTGAGCCAAACCTGTTTTTCTCGAAACTGGTGAGCCCGCAGCAGAATCTGAATATAGATTTGAAAATGTCTCATTCTCAGCTTTCGAATGATATAGGTCTCTTATCGAATTCCCATACTCCAGTTACAACCTTCCCTAGTAAAAAATAATGGTTGTTTTTAAGATCAATTGAATTTTTCATAAAAAAGGAAGTAGACAAGATTAACTCAAAAGCTATTTGCCATAATTATCAACTACTTGTAGCCAACATCCGCGCAAAGAATGGGGTCCGCTGTGAAAGAACCCCACTTGCTGCGACCCAAACCACCCATTTTTCGGTCTCAACGCGGCTTTTGAAGTGTTTCTCGGCTAATGAGATATGAATTACTGGAAATCTGAAAGTGCCAAATCAGGGCTACTTGGCGGGTGAGGGAGAACTTCCCAGCCCATTTCCTCGATTTTCTGCTGAGTAACTTTTGACACATGCGGCCGAGCATTATCATGAAGGAATTTTGTCGTTGGTGTATTCACACCTTGACGTCTCAACGCTTGCTGCATTTGGCCCAATTATCATTGATAGAGTTCAGTAGTGGCTGTTAGACCTTTTTACAGAACTTCAAAACATACAAGACCCTTGCTCTTCCACCATACACATAGCATTACTTTCTTTCCGTATATCACTCATTTCGAGTTTTTTTGGCCGGTTCTCCGAGGGACAACCGTTGTCTATTCTGAGTAGTATTATTGTACTGAACCACTTTATGATCCGACATAACATAAGAATCGAGAAAGGCGATATTCTTCGAGAAAAGAAGGATAATTCTGATAAGTGCGAGGAGGGAGTGGTTGTAGGAAAAAACTTCCGCAACTGTTCGATTTTCCAATTTGTGCAAATGGTTTTCAATGGTACCATTAGTACAAGAAAACGGTTCTGAAAGACTACGAGTCGTTTGACAAGGATCCGACTCGTTTAAGTCTCTCAGCAGTTCACTGTCAATGATTTTTAGTCGAACGGTGTGTTCACGGTTTTCCAAGCTTTCATCGTCATTATGAAAACGTTCAAACTAGCGTATGAATCAATTTTTATAGAAAAGCTTGTTTGAATACTTTTGAGAGAGAACTAAGAGCTTGCGCGGCATTTTTGACCAACTTAAATTTGTAACTTCCCGCGCATTTTTTGGAACGACGTTTTCTAAATGGAATTCCCAATTGAAAAAACAGAATGGCAAACTGAAACTATATATCAAACGATGCGCAAAAAAACGTTCTTTCGAATAAAAAAAAAGGGGGGAGCAAAAATGTTCTCCGGATAGAGAAATACGTTCCGACGAACATGCCACTCATTATTTTTTAGCCAACCTAATACTTGGTATTTAGTTTCAAATTTCTGTATTGAGATTTAAAATACGAAATTTTGATATTTATTCCAAGAAAAATAAGAAGTTAAGGGGATACAGGGAAAAATTGAGTCTCCGACGTGCAAGAAGTTTCGAATTGCGACTCAAATTGGAGGAAACATAAATTAGGCAAAATTTGTGATCCAGCTCTGTGAAATTTAGATACTAAATAGAAAAGAAAACTACAGGAATTCAAAGTCTGCTCCTTTTGACCTTTCCGTTCTTCTTCATTTCCATCGTTGTTCTTGTCATCTTCGTCCATGAAATGAGCTCAAAGTTGACTAAAAAACATCTTGCAGTCCAACCCTACCGAAAACAGGTGGGATGCAAGTGGTGCAAGGCCCCACGACGACAACTAAAAAAACCTTAACCTAAAAATACCGTAAAACCTCTAATAGAACGACACCCGGATCGTCCACTTTGAGCCTATATATCTCATTTTCTGCAAAAGATATCAAAAAGTGGCTAACTAGTAAGATGTTGCTGATATCGTGATAAACATTTTACTAGTTAACCACTTTTTGATACCTTTCAAAAGAAGTGAGATATATAGGCTCAAAGTGGACGTTCCGGGTGTCGTTCTATTAGAGGTTTTACGGTAGGTGAAAACCAAAAAAAAATCCGGAAAAATTGTGTCTAGGTTACGGTAGTTGTCGGTGTCGGGCCTTCGGTCATGGCTACCGGATTTTCTCTTCCACAGTCCCGATTTTTTTCTTTTTTTAAACCAGAATAGTACAGCATATATCCTGTTGTGAATGGAAAACAAGAAAAACTCTGGAAATATCGTTTTGAAACAGTCTACTGTCGAACGTTTCGCTGCAAAGTATTACTGTAGATTTTTAAAGGAACATCATGCATGACATATGGGCTTCGACACGATGTTTGCGCGCGCCAAAAATTACATTTGTTTTCCTTGCTTCAATTCGTCCTTTTCTGAGCTGAAAGAGTAAGATGAAAGCTTTTGACTTGGCTTTTCACCAACTTTCGCGAGAAACAGTTAATTATCTAATTTACCTCGCTTTTGCTACCGCGACAAAACTTTCGCAGTTTTATGCAGTTATTCATGACACTAAAGTGTTTTAAACCTGTTTTCACAATTTCGAGAAATGCGGGCAACCGAATTTCTCCACATTCCTTGAAATTTTATGAATAGAGTAAAAAACACATTTTTGTCATAAATAACCTCAATATTTTCCTACAGGTTCGTTCGAACCAGCAAATCACTTTGGTTATCTTTAAAATGAAATTGTTCATAAACTAGATTTTTTTATCCAAATGATATATTTTACAGGGTATGCCCAATTCTCCTGACATCCAAAGGCGTTGTCTTCGCGTTCGTAGACAATCTGAATCTAGTTTGAACACTACACGTGTATCGAATTCAAATATTCAGCAAAAAAGAAGAGAATCGACATCCGGCGCCGTGAATGCGAAAAAGAAGCGAAAAAGAAACAGTTATCAACACAAAACGACCCAATACATAAAACCGTGCGACAAAATTTTCCACTGGTCCATTCGTGAAGTGGACGAGAGTTCTTACCTCGAAGAGAAGGGCTTGAGATTTTCCGGAGCAGAGATCAAGTTAGAAGAGAAACGAGTTGAGCTGGCTGTTAAAACAGTTTTAAAAGAAAAGGCTGATTTTGTTGAAAAAGAATTTGCAACATTATTCCTTGATGATGACTCGGATGACATCGATTGCTCCTATCACTTGAGCGAGGATGAAGACGTAGCAGACAAGGCCCATTGGTGAATGCGAAATACGTTCCATTGACTTTCACTACAACGGGCGAAACAAAAATTACTGTACCACCACTTAAAAAGCCCTACAAAACCGAAACGACAAAAATGAAGTTCGTGGAACCATTGACTGAAAACATTTACTGTGACGATGAGCTGCAGTTGTCACACTTTCCACAATTCGGAGAGTTTCCTGATGAAGATATAGACTACGAGGCCATCAACGCATTCCTTCACAGGGTTCGTGTTCAGACTTTTATTTAATGCATTTAAAACTTTTCAGACTTTTCCAAAAGGTGTGCACGGAAATTGGAGGAATAAATCCGAGACGAGTGAAGAGATGTTTTATAAAACATTGATAGCTCTACTACCCGGAACAAAGAACATTGATCTACTTCACCACGCACTCTACGAAACTTTTCCCAGCTATGGCGGACTCAAAGATATTCATGAAACGTTTGATCGACTGCATAAGAAGTACTCAAACGGGAAGGATAATTTGGAAATATTGAAAGTATTGGATTCGTTGAAAGATTCAATGAAGACTGAATTACTCCCCTACTCTAAGAAGTTTCCTTTTGACGTCAAGTATCCCGACACTCGAAAAAACTACATTGTGCGGTACATCAAAATTGGTGAGAAAGAGTGCTCGGAGAACTGTTATCTGAATGATTATGAGGTGATAACACGAATGGAAGAATTCCTTGAAGAAACCGATTCGAAGGAGCTAAAACTATACATCCTCAAATCAACCAAACGTCAGTTTTCTGATTTTCTCAACATGCTTCTGATGCGAGACGATAAAGGCGTCGTGAAGAACTTCTGTCAAACTGCAAAGCTTTTTCCCAATGTCTCATGCTCTTCTTGGTTCAAAAGTTTGCTCGATTCCGCCAGTTACGCTGATGCTATGGGATTCCAACAAAAGTGAGCTTTTCAGAAATGTTCGTTGTAGTTTGTAGTTTTAGAAGCTACGCCAACAGAATGGAAAACTTTCGACATGCTCAAAAGGAAGACAAAAAGAAAAGAAGGGAAAAGAATAAGGGCAAGGACAAAAAATACGAAGATTACACAACTCTATGTGATCATCTTGGTCCTTGTGGGCCAGGGGTTCGAAATTGTCCATGCAAACGCTTCTGTACAGTCTTCTGCAACTGCGACTTCAATTGTAACCGAAAGTTCCCAGGTTGCGAGTGCCCGCCGGGCATGTGTCAGACCCAACAGTGTCCATGCTTTGAAATCGATTTCGAGTGTTCAGAATTAACTTGTAGACAGTGCGTTGAAGATGATACACTGGAACTTTCGTCATGTGACAATTACGAAATGACAAAAGGAGGTTTGAAGAAAATCCTTGTTGGAAAGTCGAAGATTGCAGGCAATGGTGCCTTCCTGCAAGAAGATGTGATGAAGAAGAATTTCTAGGCGAATATGTCGGTGAACGACTCTCTGTTGAGGAGGGAGAACGCCGCGGAATTTTTCACCTGCTCAATATCAGTTATACATTCGGCAAGCCAGCTATGAGGAAATTTTTTAAAAAACTTTTTCAGGTCTTGCCGAATGTGGTGACGTTGATGCTATGCGAGCCGGAAATGTACTTCGGTTCCTCAACAATTCGGATGAGCCAAACTGCTACATAAAATATAAATACGTCAAAGGAGATCTACGAATTGGTTTCTATACGTTAAAAGCTATGAAGACTGGCCAGGAGTTATTCATCAACTACCGCTACAGACCCGAAGCAGCTGCCATGTTTTTCGGAGTTCCTCCATTTGATAGACTTCCTAGAATTAAGAAATATATTCCCACTAAGGAAGAAAAGAAGGAAAATCAGACACAGAAACCGAAGAAATAGAAATCTTTCGAACAATGCCCAGCTTTAAATTATTTGTTCTCAGTTTTCCAATCTTTATTTTGATACAAATTAACTGCTCCCTTGAATTTCCTCTTTTTATGCACATCCCTACCACCTTTTTTACTGTACCATAATTCTTCTAATAGAACGCCACCTCTAAAAATGTGCCATGAAACGGCAAATATTCTGTTGATTGAAAATTGCTTGGTATTTCTCTTCCAAGAGTGGCTTTCTATAAGAAGAAATACGTTTTCTCAAATTTATTGTTCACCATCTCGGCACCCCTATATCTGGCTTCGCGCCACTCACCCAACCAAGTTTACCGCAAATGTTTTTCTGTTCTAAATAAATCAAAGTTTAGTTTTTTTAAAGAACTATGTTTGGCTGCAAATACCAACTTTTAACGAAGAATGCATACAAAGGGCCAGGCGAGCAAAAATCTGATAGTCAGTTTGTGAAAGGGAGAATGATCCACCTAGCCATGAACCCCAAACATGGCGATTTAAGTGTCTTGGTCTTTTTTTCACAGAGACAAAAAACTCGAAAATTATAAAAATTAAGATTACTGTATATCTGAGAGAAAATTCAAAAAACAAATAAAAATTTGAAAATTACTGTAGTTTTGAGAAAAAATTCAAAACAATTGAAAAATGAAGATGACTGTAGTTTGGAGAGAAAACTCGGAAATTTTGAAAAAAATTGAGACTACCGTAGATTTGAGAGAACATTCAAAACAAATAAAAAATTTGAAGATTACTGTAATAATAATTTATTGATTCAGGACTATCAGTCACTTATAAAATCAATGTATTACAAATTAAACAAATGAGTTTATGTTTGTCTAGGAACAGGAAAGAAGATAAATTAACATGACTTAAATTAGTTTTTAAAGAGATGGATGAAATAAAGGGTGGGAACACGGTTTTTGGAAGCGAGTTCCAGCAGGATATAATACGGAGAGTAAGAAATTGAGCAGAAAGTTTTGAAGCATTTTTTAATGTACAGCGAATGTAATATGGGTGGCGTCTTAGATGATTATGATGAAACGGGACAATGAATAGATTATGGGCAATTGCTATTTCCCGGGAAACTAGAGTTTTATACATAAAAACTAGATCGGATAGAAGTCGACGGTACTCTAAGGATTCTAAATTGTGATCACGGAGACAATCAAAGTAGGATATATAGGGATAGTTGAACTTCTTGTAACATCGGAACAGGAATAACTTTTGCACGCCTTCAAGAAGCTTGATTTGCTCGAGGACGGGGGAGAAAACAATTGTACCATACTCAAGAATGGGGCGAATGTAGATGACAAAACATTTTACGAAAATATCCATTTTAGAGCGGAGAACATTAAAGAAAATGTTAATTCGTTGGTGTGCTTTCCGGAGTGTGGTAGCGAAGTGGTCAGAGAAGGTCAGTGACGAATTGAGAATGACTCAAGAATCACGAATCCTCTGAACAGTTGGCAATCTCTCGTCGTTAATTGAAAAATGATTGTTAGTGTTATTAAGACGTCTTTTATGAGAGAAAGAGATAGCTTCACATTTAGTGGGTGCAACACTCATTTGCCATGTATCACACCAGTTCTCCAGTTTTTCCAGATCACTTTCAATATGCATTGGGTTAGTAGAGAACAGTTTCAAGTCATGAGCATAGAGTAGAAAGTTGGAAGAAAAGTTATCTCCTATGTCGTTAATGAAAATGAGAAACAGAAGCGGTCCGAGAACTGAGCCTTGAGGAACACCTGAGAGGACTTCCGTCTCTCTGGACAGCTCGCCATTCACGATTACTCGTTGTTTTCTGCCAATGAGAAAAGAGGAAAGCCAATTGTGCATTTTAGAGACTATGCCATAAGATGTTAGTTTAAGCATGAGCTTTTTGAAGGAAACAGTATCGAAAGCTTTTTGAAATCAATGTACACACTATGCGTTGTAGTTTTGGAAACGTGATTATTGAGCAAGAATGCTTGATAAGAAAGAAGCTAGGATTCTGTTCCTCGGTTGGAACGGAATCCAAATTGGCAGTTAGTGAGAAGATTGTTGTCGTCAAGAAAAGAGATAAGGTGTTTGTGAATAATCTTCTCCATTAGCTTGCCGACAGATGATGTTAGTGAAATAGGCCTATACTGTAGTTCTGAGAGGAAACTCGAAAATTTATTTTTAAATGGAGATTACGGTAGTTTTAAATTCTGTTGAAGTATTTTATCCTCTTTCTCCCAGCAGGCATTTGATTATTTTGTACATTTTCTCATTTGACAGATAATTCTTTGGTATTTCCTGTTGTTTTTCTGTACTTGACGTCATGTCGATCCACCCACGAAGCAAGACTCTTCCTACATCACAATGTCCATTCTTTGATTGCCATTGAGAATGCAATAAATTGGCACATTTTGCCCCGATTCTCAACAACTTCCGGTCGTTTTTATTAAATTCTCTGACTTTCTCTAAAAATCACAGGTTTCTTCTTATACTCGCCCGACACATCTGGTATCCACTTTGAGTCACTCTATTCTATGGAAAAACAACGGACCTCATCAATTCACTTTCATTGTTTCAAAAGTGTGCGATCTGTCGGGAAACCTTCAGGGTTTCTTGAGTTTTCAGTAGTCGGTATTATCGCAGACATTTCTCGTGTTTCAGAATGTTTGGGTTCTCTATTTTGAATTATTCGAAAAAAAGAGGTAAATCAGGTCACAAATTGCTCTCAGAATATACTCTCGGCAACTTTCTCTGATGATTTTTGAAATTAAAAAGATGCGGTAAAACCTGTAATAGAAGGGCCCGCTAGCTATTAGCTTTGGGCTGATTTATCCTGGTTCCTGTCAAAGATATAAAAGAGTTCTCAACTGATAAATTGTTTATCATAACATCAGAAAAGTTTTTTCAGTTGACAACTTTTCTATATCTTTGATAGGAACCGAGGTAAATTGGCTTGAAGTTAAAAGTCAAGGGGCCCTTTCAGGTTTTATGGTATACAAAACCGTATTTTTTTCAGTGAATTTTGACCATTTTCACGAGTCTGGAGCTCAACTGCTAAGTTTCCAATCACAGCTATTCGCCGATTTCTGGAAGACAACTGTTTTTTACGTTTATAGTACAAAAAAGTGCCAAAAATGGGTGTCTTTCAGAAATTGGCAGAAAACTGAAAAACTAAGAATTTCCAAAAAATTCTGTGACTACATAGTTTTCAATCTAGGTCTGTTCTACACCCACAACAACTTTCAAAGTGATTGGAACCTTGACAACCGAGCTCCATGCTCCTGAAAATAGTCAAAATCACCGAAAACTAACTGAAATTTCCGTTTTTGTATATGTTACCAGCAAGCTGGTGCGCCTTTGGCGCGATTTAACCTAGTTGTTGGTTTGTTCCACTGGTTCGTTACTTCGCTAATCATTTTTCTTAAAAGGTCACGTTAATCTATATATTTTTTTAAGTTTTTCAAAAGTCCACAGAGTGACAGGGGGACCAACAGACGCGTGTAGCGTTTTATATATAAGGAAGATTGAACGGTACTATGGTAAGTAAGATTACGGTACTCTTCTTCAACAAAAACAAATTGTACAGATTTGAAAATAAAAATCTCATAGATCGAACTAGATTCATGAGCTAATTTTCAATAATACCATAACCGGAAAACCAATATTTCATCACACTTCTTCTTCTTCTTTTTCTTATTCAAAAGGCTCAGCTCATGAGTCAACATTCCGAGTTGACATCATCCTTACAATTCCAGTTGAGTCAATAAAACAAAACTTGAGAGTCTCGTGGCAGGTTGAAAGTTTACCTACCATAAATGGAGGTACATTTTGTGACTTCCAGAACTTTCGTTTCTATAAAACATAAATTTTGAGAGAAATATTAAAAACTCATGTTGACAAGAAAGTTAGAGGCGGGAGTGTCTGGAAAACTAAATCGAAACTATTAGATTAGGAGAACGGTTACTTCCTCTCAGAATCCTTCCTTTGATTATCATGTTTTCTTCCAAAGATCATATAGATATTGATTCGAGTTTCTTTCTGGAAAAAATGAGACAAAAGACGAACATGATCATAACAAAAAACATGCTTTTGTCTTTTCTGATACAGACCGGAAATTCTCTTTTCCGCCCCCAATATTTTATGCCATTCCCCCGCCACCTCCTCCTCTTTCATCTTCTTCTTCTTTTTCTGCTCCTTATCATTTTTTCAATATTTCCCATTTTGATCAGGACTCTGTCTTAAGACTACAAAATATCAGTAATAATAATATGGTACTTTTAAGGTTTTTTTGGTCTCCCCACCCCCTCAAAAATATATCGTCCTTTGTCTATTTAAAAACTCGTATGTTTTTCGAAAACTGAATTTTTTGATGATAGCAAAATCACTTTCTTCATTGTTCATAATCTATTTTTGTATTCTTCTTCTTTCCTCTTTTTTTATCTCCTCAGTTTCTTTTGATTTCTAACCAATTATCTGAAAATCAGCTGATTCAACAACCGATTCTATTTTGCTCGAAAGAATGTTCTAGAGTGTTCCAGAACTTTGTATTTTCAGAATTTTGTTTTTTGTTTACGCTAAAAATTGCAAAAAGAGCACATTCTTACGATGAACAATAGACACACTTTTGATTGTTCCCGATCAGCCGATTTTTGAATTTTCTGTGATTGGGTTAACCAAAAAATAGGTTCATCTGAAAATCTGGATGTTTTTTAGAATTTATATAATTACAAATTCACATCAATAAGCCTTTTCACTGTTCCGGATTAATAATTTGAAATTCTCGATTTTTAAGAGATAAGTTGTTGGCCGTGGCGGAAGGTCCCACAACAACAGCTACCGTAACCAAAAAAAAATTTTAAGGCTTTCATTTTCTCGAGTCCCGTTCTTTTTCCGACAATTTTTTCACTATTAAAGAGGACATGAGAAAAATAATGTTGTCGAAATTCCGTTCAAATATGCTCCTCGAGGAGTTGAACTTGTCGAGGCGAGTGTTGAAGGTGCGGCGCCGCTACCGACTGAGCTACGCGTGCAAAGAGAAAGCCGCTGCCCGATTGCATACATAAAGGCGAGGGCGACAGCTGTACGCAGAGTGACATTGAGCGTTGTACACCGTTACGGTAAATGCATACTCTGGCCCCAAAAATCCCCCCGTAAAATCTCCTGTCCCCCCCCCCCCCCCGCTTTAAACGTTTTTTTTGGTTTGTTGGGAAAAAAAATCAGTAAAAAGCGAGAAACTAAATTCAGCAATTTTATGGGATTAGCTACAGTAACCATTGATTTATCATTTTTCACTACCGTAATATCTCTGAAGTCACAAAAGCGAAACCAATTTAACTTTTTCCTACGATCGTTCATGCTTTTTATGCTCCGAAATGATACTTTTACCTTTTTTTCATTTCTCAAAAAATCATTTACACCCCCTCATTCATTTTCTCTAAATCTCTCCATTTCCCCTACTCTTTCACCATTTTTTAAAACTGATAACACATCTGACGGTCTCTTTACTCAAATACCTACTTTTTTGGGAAGAAAAGACCGTTTCCGGAAATCTATCAAATAGTTCTTATCGCCTACTTAAAGTCAGCAGAGTTTTTCCAGTTTTAGAAGGATTAGTTCTTTTTTCTCCTCCCTAAGACTCTGAACATCCTATTTCTTATTGTCTACTTATTTAGATTTTTTTCTTGTTTTCAATAACTCAATTAACTTATTGCAGCACTCAAAAATTCAAAATTCCACCCTCAATATCCTTCTACCGGTCCGCAAGAACCCGACGAAGAAATGCAGAACGAGAGTTCAGAAGAGGCTCCGCCCCTTCTTCCTCCAAAAGTGCCACCCAGAACACATCCGATTCACGTACGAAATCTATTGAAACTACAGTATATCGAGCAGTCACTATCACCAAATATGGTAGGTTTTTTATTAACGAATTCATAAGTTATGAATCATAACGTCACTTTTCGTGAATGTTCCTTCTTATCTTCCGTACTTTTATTGAATGAATCACTTTTGATTGGTCAATCAAACTTACTCGACAGCTCATTGAGCAACAATTTTATAGTCGTCAACACGAACTGATGAGCTCTGATTTTCAGGAACCACATGCTGATGACGTTGCATCGTGTCATAGTAGAAAAGCGTCTTCTGTTGGATTCGTTGAGATTGACGATTTGATGAAATTCCAGGTGGGAAATTTGGAATCTAGACCGATTGAGTTTTATTATTTCTTTTTTTCCAGGAAGAATACAAAACCCGCTCCTCCACTGGATTCTATTCCTCACTTCGCAATATTTTTTCTACTGGAAACACAGCATCTGCCACCACGTCTTCTTCCATCCCAGAATCCCATATCAATCCCATGTTTCCTGTCCACAAATGCTCATTTTCAAGAAGTTTCACAGTTCTACCGTATCCTCCAAAGAAGAAGCGAAAAAGTCATTTGAGAAGAGTTTTCTCCTGTTTCTCCATATTCAAGCATCATTAGTTCATTCAAACACTGGTTTCTATTTTATTTCCCTGTTTTTTTTAATACGCATAATTCTATTTTCAAATTGTTGCCCTTTCCTCCCCCAAACATCCATAATCTAGTCTTACCATTTCGTTCTCTCAAAAATAACAATGACCCAATTCAAAATGCATAATTATTTATGAAAATACAATGATGAAGAAGATTATTTTATTACAGTTTTTAAATTTCTTTTTTTTTCGTATAAAAGGCACAACTTATAAAAACAGATAAAGGCACGATAAAGGCGGTAAAAGTAAAGCATTTTGTAATGGGCAGCACTTTGAGTTTTTGAATTTTGATTTAGATATTTGGAAAAGAATTAGGCTTGTTGAATTCCCTTTCTCGACACCTTCTTCTCCTTATTTCTCTTTGGTGGAACTGGAGTGGACGATGGTTCTTGACGTCCGAAGAAGTATCTGTAGTCGTCAGTTCTGATATGGGACCAGACTCCAGCGGCACCGTTTGCGTCGAATTGTTCCTGGAAAGGTCAAAATGCTATAATGATTTCTAAAGTCTGGATTTTCTATTTTTGAGCTTGTCTAGAAATTGTGAAAAAAAAACATATTTCCTGAATTTCTGAATTATTGAAATATTTCAATTTCTGAATTTCTTGATATAAGAAGTTGACAATTTCAAATGTTGAAACTTTTTGCCCAAACCCCAAAAACATTGCATATTCTCAGTAGTGCATACAGAAAATATTTTAAATGGCGAAAACTTTATGTTTCTGTATAAATATACAATAAAAGGTTGAAAACAAGAATAGCAATAAAAATTTTGGATGTTATGTTGTCTCTTTTGATTCAACCTATGTGAAACTACAGAAAAGTTGAATTTCATTTTCCGTAGTTTTAGGAAAAAAAGTAAAAGGAATAAAAGCGTCAAATATAAAAAAATATACAGAAATACAAATTTTGAGTTTCTGTATATTTTCCAAGGGGGTGGGAGAAGGGGAGATACGTGGAAGCTTTTTTCTGCTTTCGAAAGTCATTGCACGTAGTTGAAAAGAAAAATGCCATATTAGGAAACGATTTTGCTCATTTTTCTTGAAAATCGTTTGAATGATATATATTTCGAGCGAGGCAAAGAAAAAAGAGAGCTGGGAGTTCTACAGATTCGCTTTCAGATGAAATTAACAAAAAATAATATTTCTTTGGAAAATAAGGAGGGGCAAAAACGTGAAAGTTTATTTCTGATTTGAAATTTATTGTGTACAGTTGAAAAAAATTCCACATTACGAGACTATGTTTCTCATTTTAACTGAAAATAATTTGAAAAAAAACATATTTCGAGCAGGGGAGAAGTGAATCTGGAGTTATCTAGTGATTTGCATTTTGAGAATCCGGGATAACTTTTTTAGATAACTATTTGTCTGGAAGCACTCCCAGCTAGAACTCCCAGCTTCCCTTCTTCTTGCTCAAAATGTATTTCATTCAAACGATTTTCAGGAAAAATGAGCAAAATCGTTTCCTAATATTGCATTTTTCTTTTCAACTATGCGCAATAACTTTCGAAAACAGAAAAAAAGCTTCCACGTATTTCCCCTTCTCCCTCGCCCTTGGAAAATATACAGAAACTCAAAATTTGAATTTTTGTATATATTTTTTTCATATCGGACGTTTTTATTCCTTTTACTTTTTTATCCCTAAAACTACAGAAAATCAAATTTAACTTTTCTGTAGTTTTCGAATAACGTAATACAAACTTGACATACATATTCTTCCCATACATTTATTTTATGGTTTCATCGTCATTAGAATTTTTGTGTATATTTATCCGTTATTTTGGAGTATAAACAGTTTGAAGTTCATACACCGTATAAAACTACACCTTTTTAGACGAATTCTTGGTTTTCATATAAGTTTTTTCAACATTTGAAAATCTCAACTTCTTATATTCTCGAATTTTCTGAATAACCAACTTTGAAAACTCAGGTCTAAAAATATTTCACGGAAAAAAATTTCCCGGGGCGGAGTCAGGAGGCGGATCCTGGTACGGTTTAGCCGCACGGGGTTTCCCATAACCTGATGCAAATCCTCTTTTAAATATAATTTTGCTTACCTGAAGTCTTGGAATGAACGGATTATGTTCCAATCGAAGAACTAGCTTTGAACCAATCAATTCCAGATTTCCAAGCTCTGGTGGAATCATAGCCAAACGGTTTCCTTGAATATGAAGCTCGCGAAGACGAGTCAGCTTTCCCAATTCTCTTGGAAGAGTCAACAAATCATTCTCACGAAGAACCAAAACTTGAAGATTTTCGAGATTTTCAACGTCTCCAGGAAGCATTTCAAAGTCATTGTCTCCCAGATACAAAGCACGGAGAGTTTCTGGAATTTAAATAATTTTGGTTGTTTCTTGTTTTCAATTTAGAAACTACTTACTCATGAAGAAGAAATTTCCTGGGAGTGATCTCTCACTCAAATTGTTGTAGGTCAAGTCAAGGATCTCCAGAACTGGGAATGATCCGAATCCACGTGGAAGAATCGTCAACTTGTTCATTCCAATATTCAAGATTTTCAGTTTCGGAAGAGAAGAAATGGATGATGGAAGTTCTTCGATTTGATTGTTCCACAGGTTTAACGATGTGAGACTGATCAAATCAGCAATGTTTGCTGGGAGAGCAGTGAGCTTATTGTGGCTCAAAGTGAGACGAGTGATGGTTTCAGCCTCGACTGAAATTCAATGATTACTTCAGGAATTACATGGAGAAAATAAATAGTGTGTATAGATGAGAGATACCAGAGAAAAGAAAATCATGTCAGCTGTTGACTCTTCCGTTCTTCTATGCATTAAGAATCAGTCAGAAGAATTTTTAATTAGAAAAATGATGGAATTATAGAACTATTCAAACAGGATGCTTTTCCGAGTAGTAGTATTCTCACATTCAGTCTCTTTTTAGAACTTAAAAACATTTTTTAAATCTTGAGTGATTTCGAAACTCAAAAGAATCAAAAATTATTTTTTCTAATCATGAATTTTTGAAGAGAACTTACTCATATGAGAAACTTGAGAGAACAAGGTGATGTTACGATCGACATGCTCCACCTCGGTGACTTCTTCTTTCTTCTTGTCCTTTGGCATTTTTTACCTAAAAATATCGATGTGAGGAGACTTCAAATTAGAAGTTTGTTTAAGAAAAATTAAAGATTTTGATATTCAAATGGAATGGCACTGAAAGAAAATAACTTGAACTGTAGATTGAGGTACGAAATTTTCAAAAAAAATATCCAATGAACGGTATCCATCTTTCTCAAATTCTCATTCCACTTGAATGAGGATTCATTTCTCTTCCAGTCAAAAAAGGAAACCCAACTGGAATACAAAAAAGAATGAAAAAAGAGTATAAGAACTTGTGAGACACAGAAACGAGTGTTATATTTGTCGACGAGAGGGTCGGAGAAGAGAAATGACAACAGCACGTCGTAGGCGGTTGGATGGTTAGGGGGAATGGAAAAGAAGAAGAAGAGAAGAGAAAAGGCGAAAAGAGTGTACAGCGAGAGAGTATTACACTGTATAGTATACGCAGACAGTTAGACACATTTGAGAAAATGAGAAGAAGCAGTGAAAAGTTCATTGAGCGGGAAGAAGGAGAAGATTTGCAATTTTATCGATTCATCGATTTTTTCCGAGGGCTATTGGGATCGAGAAAAAACACTTTTGTCTCGTGTACTTCAAAGTTTTTTTTTTTTTAATTGTATCCTTTTTTTCAAGTAAAAATGAATCCTTTTTTTCAAGTAACATTTTGAGGACCTTCATCTGTATCTTCTCTAATATCGTTTTTTAAACGTTTCGATGGAAAGTGGATCAATTGAGTTATTATCAGATAAACACAGTAAAAATTGATACTTTGATTCTTCTGAAATTGTCTGAAGCCATGCCAGATACTGTAGCTACAGCTCCAAAATATTCTTTAATTTTTCAGTCTCATTTTTGATACTTTCCGTAAAACCTCTAATAGAAGGGTCCCTAACTTTAAGCCGATGTATCTTTTTTCCGGAAGGAGATATCAAAAGTTGTTCAACTGACATTTTATTAGTTGATCACTTTTTGATATTTCTTACACGAACGAAGATATATTGGCGATCGAGGGTGTCCTTCTTTTAGAGGTTTCACTTCCTCTTTATGTTGCTACGCTTTTTTTTCCAATGGCAAAAAACGATAAGATCGTTCCTTTCTCTCTAGACGAGGCAAAAAATAAAACGAAAACATTTCACTCATTCTTGTCGCTTTTAACTTTTTCGGACTTCCTCTACTTTCTCCTAAATTTCCTTTTCTAAACCATGATCCACACCAAAAAACATCTATATGCCACGTCGCCTATCGTCGCCTAATAATTGTCTGACTTCTCTTCATTTATAATGTTCCATCGCATCCTCTCAAATAAACAAAAAAGAAGAAGAAGAGGACACACATGTCTCTTTATTGCATCAGTCTGCTGCCAAACTCTTCCTCTTGTCCCTCACTTTTTTTTGGGAAAAATCAATTTTGAGAGAATTTTTATTTAATTTGATTAATCATAGTTCTCTACATTTTGACCTATAAAATGGTCTTGTCTAATTTGACCAGAACGAAATAAATTGATCTGATCAAAGAAAAAAAAATATAAAGAAGATAGATGTCGGAACACACATCTTTTCCTTTTTTGTTTGGACCGATTGATTACGGTCATTCTATTCCTTGTATTCTTGCATATAAATACCAATTCTCCCTTTTTTTCTGATAATATGACCCAAAAACGGAACTGAGTAGCTGAAACTGTCCACGGTTATTCCCCAATTATTGAGTTACAGTTTCAGCTGATGCCCTGATAACGCTATCGATTTTTTTTTCTCGCTTTTTTTCTGTTTCGCCCAGTAAAACACGATCGTAAATTCGTCTTCCATTATAACCCATTACTTCCAAAACAAAAAAAAGTTAGAATGAAGAGAAACCGGTTTGATCGTCCGGCAGATGTCGTTCTCTGGTGTTGTCTTTTTCACCGAAAACTTTTTTTTTTCATAATTGGAAGAATTCGGAAAGTTTTTAATAGGGGAGGATGGATTAGCGAATCTTAGAAGTTTCGTTTTCAAGTGAAAATTTTGAACAAAGAACCGCATAGCTTCTGAATTCGTCGACTTACTATAAGTTGTTTGGTCGAAAAAGGTTCAAATGTAATTCTCGTCTAAACTTCTGCCCCCACACTATCATGTTCTAGCTAAAATATCTCAATTCCTATGCAATATATCAAAAAGTTGTCAACTGACAAAACATTTCTGATGACGCTATAAGAAATTGTCAGTTTATCACTTTTTGATATCGCACATAGGAATTGAGATAATTGAGCTCAAACTTTACAGTATAAAGGCTTTTTTATTACAGGTTATACGGTATTGTCGGAGTTGTTGTCGGAGTTATTGTCGGAGTCAGACTCAGTGCAAAATAATCAATTTTTGTACTGAGTCTGCATACACGGAGATCGCAGTTTTATAATTCCGACAATATGTGTTTTCAAAGAAAAATCCGCATTGAAAAACCGAACTTGATTTAGACCTGCCAAGCACACAATTTTTATGGTAGATCAAATTTGATCTGCCAGATCTTTTTTTTCTGTGTGGGAGCGCACGGTATTTTTCCGGAACGTTTTTTCAAATAATTTTTTCCTCCGTTTTTTTTTTGATGGAATGCAGGTTCCTCTGAGTAGCGACTTTGTAGCTCAATTTAAAGCTTTCGCGTCGAGATTAACGCTAATTTTTCTGTAGCATTACCGTATTGGCGTTAGAGCGCATTTAAATACAAGAAGTTCCGAAAAAGAGACCCCGGAAATTCGAGACTCCACCGATTCCGAG